TAGAAGAACTTAATGTTACTATTACAATACGTAATGAAGAGAAAGAACCGGTCGCTGAAAATTCACATCTCGTAATAGCTAGCAACATATTGTCTAACAATTCATGGAATGTATTGAAAAATCTGACAGATAGTTTATTAAATGATGGATTTCTCTTTTTGGAAGAAACAAGTCAAATTGACGTTAACTCAGCTAATTTATTAAACCAAAATATGATTCATATTGCCACACAAATTGTTGCTGGAAGCTCATATCATCTATTTAGAAAAAAAGAACATAGATCCGCTCCTATTGTCATACAAATAACAGAAAAGAATTTTATGTGGTTAGAAGGTGTAAAAGCGGCTTTAAAAAAAGTTGCAACTGAGAATCAGGAACTTCTACTGGTTAGCCAGGGCGAAGAATTACTTGGTAAATATTATCCAATATTTTTATCAGGACAATACTTTTATGAATTTTAATAATCATAATATTTATAGGTATGATTGGATTTATGAACTGTATTCGTCTGGAAGATGGTGGTGCGAAAGCAAGTTATGTTTTCATTCAAGACAAAAATCTACCTAAATTTAATTTAAATGATAAATTTTATACTCAACAACTAAACAAACATTTGGTAGCTAATGTTCTAAAAGGAGGACAATGGGGAAGTTATAGACATTTACAATTAGATTTACAAAATGAAGAATCTCTGCAAGTTGAACATGCCAATATTAATGTTTTGTATAGAGGTGATTTGAGCAGCTTAAGATGGATTGAAAGTCCACTCAGTTACTACCAGCCAGAAAAATTTCCAAACACATTATTATGCTCTGTATATTATGCACCATTAAACTTTAGGGATATCATGTTAGCAACTGGAAAATTACCACCAGATGCTCTTCCTGGAAATCTAGCTACTCAAGAATGTATATTGGGTCTTGAGTTTTCCGGACGTGATCCAAAAGGTCAACGAATCATGTCTATGGTGGCAGCGCGTGGTTTAGCTACTACTGTTGTAGCTGATCCTGATTTCATGTGGAAAGTACCTGATAAATGGTCTCTGGAACAGGCAGCAACTATTCCTGTTGCTTATGCTACTAGTTATTATGCTCTATGTGTCCGTGGTCGCATGAAACGAGGTGATAGTGTTTTAATTCATGCTGGTAGTGGAGGTGTTGGACAAGCTAGTATTTCTATAGCCTTGCATACAGGATGCACAGTATTCACTACTGTTGGAACTCAAGAGAAACGAGATTTCTTGAAGAAAATGTTCCCTCAACTGACTGATAGAAACATCGGCAATTCTCGAGATACAAGCTTTGAACAATTAATACTTACCGAAACTAATGGACGTGGTGTAGATATAGTGCTTAACTCGCTAGCTGAAGAAAAATTACAAGCTAGTGTCAGATGTCTTGCTATAGGTGGTCGTTTTCTTGAAATTGGAAAATTTGATTTGTCGAATGATTCTCCTCTTGGGATGTCTGTATTCTTAAAAAATGCCTCTTTCCATGGAATACTTTTGGATGCTATTTTGGAAACTGATAGTCCAGAGAGAAGAGAAACTTCAAGACTCATCAATGAAGGAATAGAGAGTGGTGCTGTTCAACCACTTCCTTCAACAGTTTTTTCAGAACAACAAATTGAACAATCTTTTAGATTTATGGCTACTGGCAAACATATTGGTAAAGTTTTATTAAAAATTCGAGATGAGGAAAAGCAAAAAGTTATACAGCCATCAACAAAGATAGTTTCAGCTATTCCACGCACATATATGAATCCTGAAAAATCATACATAATAATTGGTGGTCTTGGTGGATTTGGTTTGGAACTTTCAGAATGGATGATAATACGTGGTGCAAAATATATAGTCTTAACTTCAAGATCTGGGATACGTACTGGTTTTCAGTCATTGTGTATTCGTCGCTGGCGTGAGATGGGTGTACATATTAAAATTTCCACAATAGATATAATAACATTAACTGGAACAAAACAACTTATCAAAGAAAGCAATGAACTTGCTCCTATTGGTGGTATATTCAATTTAGCAGCTGTTCTACGAGATGGTCTCATTGAAAATCTCTCAGAATCTGATTTTGTAATATCAGCATCGCCTAAAATTACCTTAACTAAGAATTTAGACATAGTATCACGAGAATATTGTTCCTCGTTAGATTATTTTGTTGTATTCTCATCTGTTTCATGTGGAAGAGGTAATATAGGTCAGAGTAATTATGGTTTATCAAATTCTGCTATGGAAAGGATAATGGAAAATAGACAAGCAAATGGTTTACCTGGTCTTGCTATTCAATGGGGAGCTATTGGTGATGTTGGTTTAATTATAGGTATTATGCATTTTTTTTTATAAATATTGATTTTATATTATATATTTCATATACTACATTTTATTTTATTTTTTTTTTTTTATAGACACAATGAATGGTTCTAGTGATACTGAGATTGGTGGTACTTTGCCTCAGCGCATACAAAGTTGTCTTGATACAATGGATATCTTCCTTCAACAACCACATCCAGTTTTATCTTCCATGGTTATAGCAGATAAAAGGGTAGAAGTTGGAATAAAAACTAGTGTAGTCGAAGCAGTAGCCAACATCATGGGTATTAAAGCATTGGAATCTATTAATCCCAGTGTTACTTTGGCTGATCTTGGAATGGATTCCCTGATGGGAACAGAAATTAAACAGACTCTCGAAAGGAACTATGATCTAATATTGTCGGCCTTAGAAATTCGTACTTTGACATTCAGAAAATTACAAGAGCTTGATGCTCCTACTGCAGAAGAACAAGTGAATACTTTTATAGATTCAGAAGAAGATATTGTAGAAGATTTTCTATTCCAAGTTAATTCTTCAGAACTTGTACCTATTAAATCTCTTGTACAATTGGAAACAAAGAGTTCAAAAGGACAGCCGATATTCATTGTTCATGCTATTGAAGGAACACAAACACCATTTAAAACTTTAGCTAGTGAATTGGAACGACCTGTTTGGAGTTTTCAATGTATTGAAAATAGTCCACTAGAATCTGTATCAGCATTAGCTGCTTTTTATGTGAAAGAAATGAAAAAAATTCAAGCTAAAGAACCATATCATGTAGCAGGATATTCCTTTGGGGCTTGCATTGCATTTGAAATGGCTGTTCAGTTAGAAAAGGCTGGAAATGCAGTAGTTTTAACTCTCCTTGACGGTTCACCAGCGTTTGTGAAATTACATTCTGTGGAAATTGGAAAGCTAGCTAATCAAGATGACGTGAGTGCAGATGGTTACAGAAAATCTTTGTCGTATTTCATCAGGCAATTTAATAAGAAAACCAATTTTATTCAGGTATTTTTATTTTCACAAATATATTATTTCATAATTTAAAAATATATATTTTATCTTTTTTTTAATTTTTTTTTTTTTTTTTTTTTAGGCTTATGACATCTTAAAATCTGTATCCGATGAAGAATTATTAGATAAAGTGGTAGAAATTATAGACGAACCTCAATTGAATGTTAAAGACTTAAAAGTTGCTGGTCTATTATTTTACAAGAAACTGCTGGCAGTTTATAATTATAATCCAAGTGTATTTAATGGAGATATTTTATTAATTAGAGCCAAAGATAATTTTGTTGATTTAGATGAAGACTACGGTTTATCAGAGGTAATTACATTTAAATATGTAAATAATAAATAATAATATGGAATAAATTTATTTTATTTTCTAATTTTTTTTTATTATATTTTCAATTTTTTTATAGATTTGTAAGAAAAAAATAAAAATTGAAAAATTACCCGGAAATCATAGAAGCATTTTAGCAGGAAAGAGTGCATCACAAATTGCAAATATTTTAAGAACGTAAAAAATATATTTCAACTTATAAAATTATTTTAAATTCAGAAAATTATTCTGTAATATTAATATCATTACTTAAATGTACATAAATGTTGCATAGAAACATTCCAAAGAGCTCTTAATGTACATCTTGATGTACATGATAATGATGATCATCAAAAACTTAACGTTTAATTTTTAATATGATTTCTACATATATTTTTTGTAAAATTCCTTTTGTACAAATGTTTCTTATCTCAGGTCTTTACATGCATTGTTTATATCATCTACATTATTAAGTTATGTAGTCAATTTTTTTATTTTCTATCAAAAGTATCTTAGATTGTGAAATGATAAATAAGCATCGAGGGGGATGGGCGTGTATAAAGGAATAATTGTGTAATTGTGGTCTATTATATAATAATTTCACATATTATATGGGTATTATTAAAATCATTTTCAAATATTAAATATAAATATTTATAATATATATTTTTTTAGATATTTACTATAAGTTTTTATAATGGTTTTATAGTGGACAAATACCATTATTTAAACATATAGTATATATACATAGAATTGTTTTATTAAATTACATTGTTAGATAATTTCACTAATCTAGATTTCTAAAAAATTGACATTTTTACACAGAATAAAAAATATAAAAAAATGTTAGTAAAAATAGTAATGATTGGCAATTCATACGTTTTTCTTACATGTACACTTTTAAATAGTGTATTTAAATAAATGTAATAAAAAATAAAGACATTCCAGTGATAAACTTCAATATATATTCTATATATATTTGTATACATTCAGAGAATATTGCACATAACATACTTAATGCTTTGTTAAAAGCAACCATTTACATTATATTTTCTCATTAGCAATAAAAGATTGGTTTGTTAAATAATAGATATGTACATGTTCATAATTTTAGTTATCATTAAACACATACAATATGCATTTGTTATATGTTATATGTGTTCTTGTATCATATTGATAAGTGAATAAAGAATATTTCAAAAAAAAAAATTGTCTATTAATTCAGGAATATCACTTATATTGTGATTTTAACAAAATTTATAAATAAAAAAATTTTTATATAATAAAAATAAATATATAAATATTCCTAATATATTCTATAAATAAATAATTTTTTTTCATTGAAATGGAATATTTTATTCGTTGTTAAAATAAAATAAACATTTTATTTATTTAAAATTAAAATGAATACATAATTTTCATTTATATAATAATTTTTTTTATTTTATACGATAATTTGGATCGGAAATAGCGGCATCTGGATTACAAGTAAAAGATATGGTTAATGCATAACGAGTACCTGATTGTACTTTTTCAACTGCATGTAAATTTTCACTACCTGAAGTAAACATAGATACTCTACCTATAAAATAAATTTAATATTTTTATTATTTATATTTTCTCTTTTATAATTATATATAAATATTATATATAAAAATTATATATAATATTTATAATTATATATAATGATTATATTTAATCAATCTTTTATAATTATTGTTTACCTTTACGAGGTTCTATTATTGTTTTGACATTATTTTTATCAATAAATACAAATCGGCCTCCTTCAAAATCTCTTCCAAAATCATTCAAATAAAGTAAAGTTGTATAATGAAAAGATTTATATGTTTCCTATGTTAAAAATTTAAATTTAGAAATAAATTTTAATTTTTAATAAAATTATGATAAATTTACACACTTTGTCAATATGAGGATGCCAATATTCATCATGTATAGTTTTTGCAGATATATTTGTCATTCGAGAAAAAAATGTAGGTTTTGTTAAATATATTTTATTTGAAGGTATTCCAAAATTGTGTGCTATTGCATGTTGTATCTTAGTTTTTATTGTTCTGTAAATATTACACAATTATAAAATTGAAATTCTTTGAAAAAATTATAAATAATTTACATACTTATAAATTGCAAAGTCAGAACTATTGAATATTTTTTTTGTTTCTGATAATGTGTAAATATCTATAAAACCTTGACCTTTACTTAATGCACCAGAATGGAGATCTAATATACTTGCACCACCATCAGAACCACCTAAATTCAAACCATTTACTGCTATTTTTAATAATATATCACTTTCTGTTGATAATACTAATTTATCCATAACTATTCTCGCACATTTTTCAGGTACACATTCAGGATATTTGTTTGTTTCTGCTTCATAATCACTTGAACATTCAATATTTAGAGTATGACTTAATAAAATTTCTTTTTGTTTTGCTAAATAAATTTCATTACTCTGTTTACTATTATACCAAACTATGAACAATATTGGAAATATAAGGGCAGGGCGAGACCATATTCTTTGATAAGGAAATCTTATAGAAGAGCCATATTTTCTGCAAAATAATATATTTTTTATAATATAATATCTTATAATTTTGAAATATTTTATCATTTTAATTATATTGATATAAAATATATATAATGATATATATTTATAATGAATTATATAAATTGATTTTTAATATAAATAACTTAAATGATATTATGATATTAAATAATTTATATGAAAAATATTGAATAAGATATATGTTAAAAAATAATTAGATAATATATACTTATATATCTTTCATTATAAATATATGAAAATATAATCTGACCTAACCTGTATGTCAATATAAAATATATGTCCAAATTATTAAGTTAAAAATTTTAATAAATAAAGAATTACATTTTCTATAAATTAAATAAATTGATAATATTTTTAATATATTTTAAATAAATAAATAACGTTTGTAATAATATTTTAAGTTTGGATTTAATATTTATGTTACATACACTTTAATATTTTCAACTGTATTTTCTTTTATATTTTTTTCTTTTTTTTTTTCTTTTTGATTTTCTTTTTCTACTTGTTTCTTTTTTCCTTTTTTAACTTCTTGTGTCATTTTTAATAATTATTTTAATAACATTAATCTTATATATTTGTATTTACTCTTTCTTTTTTGAGTTATGTATATATATATATATATATATATATATATTATACACATTTACAACAATTAGCAACTATGTAAGTTATTTCTATGTTAGTAATAATACATAAATTATTTATATTATTTTAAAAGAAATAAAAAATTATATGATTACATTCTTTTGTATATATGAATTTAGCAATGTATAATGATTTTAAATTAAAAATTTTATATATGTTTACTTAGGAATAAATATATCATAAGTAATACGTTTTTTTCACTAAATAAAATTAAAAATTTAAATATATCATTATCATATAACATTATAAAATTTTTAATATCTTTAATGTTTGTATGGTTTATAAGATATTTTTTACATTATTCTGTTTCTAATTTATTGTGCGATAAATAATTACTATTAATATAATATAATTAATCATTAAAATCAAGTTTTTGATATTTTTTAATTCAAATTCATTAAATATTCTACAGAGTACAAGTATCGCTACAAGTACTATTTATTTACTATTTATAATTTATATATTTATTTTATAATTACTTTAGATTTTTAATGATCGATCTTCTGTAATAATAATTTTTATAATAATTTATAAATTTCTTTCACTACTTATTATTTTGTATGCACTTATTTTTACTTATAATTAATATTTATGATACAATTTCAATATTTGATATTTATTTTATTTTCATGAATGAAATATCATGCGACTAGTCAACGAATCATCATGACATGAGAATTAAAACAACCATCAATGGTTTAAGTTTCAGTTAATATTTGTAACCATGACTACACATGGTAAAGCATGGCCGCTCGATTAACAGTTTGTGAAGGAAGATTGCGCAGAAAGTAGGTGAAATGCTGTTGAACCAGGTAGTTTTCATCGTAAGTAAAACTAAAGTTCATGCTTCTATCTAATAATAATATTTCGACAAAAGATACCACTAATTATTAACACTTCCGGTTAGAGTTTCGATGATAAACCTAAATTTAATTGTTTTCTAAATTTTGTAAGTTTCAAATTTCGTCATATTTGTGATGTAAAACAAATTTTTGAAATATTATAAAATAAATTAAATATTTATAAAACTAATATATTATAACTCAATAGCATGAAAATTTTAAAATTAGATATTAATTGTAGTATTTGACTAATTGGTTTTGTCTTTTTATGTCGGTTATACGAATAATATAACAAGTACTAAAAAAGAGTTGAAAGAAATTAAAGTAAACAGAATGAACGAACTATTATTTTTCATACATACTATATTTTTTTTCATATTTTTTTTTACAAATTATTAATTATGGAAAATATTACATATATGCGAAAAATATTTCATTTGAAAATCGATAATATAAAGTCAAATTTTAATAAAAAAATTTATATCTTTTTAAATATTAAAACTATTATAAGTACTTAAAAAATTTGAGAATTTATAACAAAATTTCATAAAAAAATTGTATCATTTTTCCATTGAATTTTAAAATTAATCTTATAATTGATTTCATATGATATTTTTGTTACAAGTAACAGTTTATTGTATGATTTTATAAGACACATTATTTCATCTTTTTAATATCTGCGTATCATTATTAGTTCTATGAAACTTTTATTCTTATAAAATATCATTTGCAAAATATATATATTCCATATATAAGATGAATTAATGAATAATATTATGATTTTAAATAGAAGGTCAAAACTTTTATAGCGATCTTTATATTCACGAATTTTCTTAAATCGTGCGACCTAAGAAAATCTATATCCTTGCATGACTGACCTGTCGCATGCAAGTTTAAGAAAATACTAATCTCGATGTTCGTAACCTAAATTATGATTGTTATGGGAGAATAAAGTCATTTATTAATATAATTGTAAAACACGTAATTAGAATTATTACATAGATTATAAATTTGTAACTATTTTACAAAAATAAAGTTAAGAATTAATTTAAAGACAGAAAAAAAAAGACGTTTTACAAACGAGTTATCAGGATTAAAATTATTTTGAAAATAAAAAAAAATATATATATATATATATATATATATATTTTTTTTTATTTTCAAAATAATTTTAATAATAATTTTAATACATATATATATATATATATATCAATGATTTCTTCCATTGATACAATGATACAAATTTTTTATTCATGTATTACATAAACTGAAATCTACATTATAACGTCATACGATGGATCAATCATCATGATGAAAAAAAACGAGAAATTATTCTTTAAAGAGATCATATTAAATGTGTTTCACAATGTAACATCTTTAAAACAAATAATATTACATAAAGATTTGACATTTTTTTTAATAAAATAAAACAATTAAGATTTATTTATAAAACTTATTAATATCTATTATAATGTTTAAGATACAAACGAGAGATGCGACATCGTTTTGATTTCAATGACGTTTCTCGAATTTGACGAGATTAAGAGATAATTATGTTTCTAATAATGCCATATATATAATTATGCAATTTCGAAGAACATAATGTATAACGAATAATTATTTCGTTATGTGATATACGAATATTACATTAAATATACATATAAAATATGCATGCATTTAAATATTAATAAAGTAAAGATTTCTATTACTATTTAAGTGATGAGTATCATTATTTTTTTCTCGAAATTACGTTGAAACATTACATGAAATATTTTTATTTGCTACTTATAAAAAAAAAAAACTTAATAACGAATGATGCCATATTGCGTCAAATGAAAATAATATTTTCTATTACAGATGGCATAATTGAGTCAAAAGAATTATTTTACTTTAAAACTGAGACGCGCATAAAATGTAAGTAGTTGAACTAAAGATTATCATGAATGATATTAAAATAACGTTAATGTTCTGTAATAGGTTTTGCAATGAAAATGTCTTGTTGTTAGTTAATGGAATGACAAAGCAAAAAGAATTGTTATTAAAATTATTCGTTTATTATCTTATTGCATAAAGTACACGTGTCTTTAAAATCCCGTTTATCGATCCAGAAAGTAACAAGTGTCATTGTTTGAAACATGTAATTGAAATTCAGTATATAATCAACATGTATGTCTAGGCGATTATGTATATAGTACTTATATAGCGTTTCATATTTCACGAATGGTATGTCAGCGTTACCCATCGATACCATTTACGTTAGCAATAAAATAAAAATTTATTTTTCGAAGAACTTTTAAATAATCGTATACGAGAATATTCATTATTCGATCAATTTCATTTTTTTTTTTTTCAAGCAAAAGATTTTCTCGTATTACGACATTATTCGATTATCGATATATATATAATTTACAATAAACAGAAGCAAACGTAAAAATCACTTTCAATAATTTAATTTTCACTCATCTTAAATGATACAATATAATATTATTACTATTACATTAGCAATAAAATAAAAATTTAATTCGAAGAAGTTCTAAATAGTCGCATACGAGTTGAGAATATTTATTATTCGATCAATTTCATTTTTTTTTTTTTTTCAAGCAAAAGATTTTCTCGTATTACGACATTACTCGATTATCGATATATATAATTTAAAATAAAGAAGCAAACGTAAAAATCACTTTCAATAATTTAATTTTCCCTCATCTTATGAAATGATAAATGATACAATATAATATTATCGAATATTACGTAGAACAGAGTTTTTTTGTATTAAAACATTTTTTATGCAAGTATTACATTTACATATATTTACATATATTATTTTTAAAATATACGTAAAATAATACTTTTTTACGTGGAAATAAAATGAATGTTAATAAAAAATTAACATTCATTTCTTTATCTTATATATATATATATATATATATATATATATATATAAATTATTTATTAGAAGCAAAGTTATTTAACTATCAGCGGAACAAGATGATGCGACTTGCAAATCAAGTGTACAAAAGGTCATCGGACATTTATTATTAATATGAACACGCGGGCCATTCGATGTTACATAATGGAAGCAATTAAAATGTAATCCTGATAACGACGTATTAAGCAATGTATTTATTACAAAATCGTATTCACAAACACTCGGCATACATAATTGATCGTTGCGAAAGATATTGTTCCAGTTTGGAAAAAAAGAAAAAAAAAAATAGGGATTTTCAAAATCGATTTATTAAAATTATAAAACGAAACGAGAAAGAAAGTTGGAGGGAAAGTTAATATTAAAGAGAATGGATAATTTTTTGTTACAGAGATTAATATGATGCATCCAGAATGCTTTGATACGAACAATTGGCCTATAAGCTGAAGAGATGCTTTTTTTCGAGCGTCGATAAAAATGAATCGATACATAACGTTAAATCAATTAGGGGACGGAACGTTTGGTTCCGTCGTTCTTGGAGAACGTATCGACACTGGGGAGAAGGTTGCCATAAAAAGAATGAAAAGAAAGTATTATTCCTGGGAGGAGGCGATGAACCTGCGTGAAGTTAAAGTAAAATGAAAGAATACAACTTGTTTCATCGTATTATTATTTCGTATATAATTGAGAATAGGATAATAACGACATAATAATAATGAAAAATATTAAAAAAGGAAAGATAGAAAAAAATATATTTATTTTAACTTTTTGCAACATTCACCTTATTCGTTTCAATGACTTATATAACTAATATGTTTTTAAAGTCAATATTGCTATCATTTAATTTCAAAGACATGACACGGTTAATTATTCGAAAATAATCTGCTGATGCTATGAAAAGATATTGTAAATATACATAAGTATAGCGTCAGGTGTACTTAATTCGATATTCTTAATTTTTCCACGGATAGACAACACACGTAATTGAAATCAATGAGGTGAATCGTATTGTAAATACAATATAATTTCAATTTTTTTTTTTCCTCTCATCTTAGTCTTTGAAGAAACTTAGTCACGCGAATGTAGTCAAATTAAAGGAGGTAATTCGTGAAAATGACGTATTGTATTTCGTCTTCGAATACATGAAGGAGAATCTCTACCAATTGATGAAGGATAGGTAAAGAAAGATCGTTAAAATATTATTCAACGTTTAAAATAAAGAATAGATTTTTACGAACGTAATAATACAACATAGGGACAAACTTTTCCCTGAGCCGGTAATCAGGAATATCGTGTATCAAGTGCTTCAAGGATTGGCGTTCATGCATAAACATGGCTTCTTCCACCGTGACATGAAGCCTGAAAATTTATTATGCATGGGACCGGAACTCGTGAAGATTGCTGATTTCGGTCTGGCCAGGGAAATACGATCAAGACCCCCGTATACGGATTACGTATCCACAAGATGGTACTTTTAATTTTTAAACAAAATCAATCAACAATTTTCCTTTTTCTTGCAGAAAGAATCGACAACGAAAGAAACGCTTTTTCCAATGTTACGTTATACACAATTATACGCACAATTATATGCAATTACATTATATTATACATCATATTATACACTGCGGATTGGATTTTCCTTTTCCTTTTTCTTTTTTTTTTTTTTTTTTTTAAATAATTCAAAAGTAATAACATTTTACAACATTACTACACGCATGCATTATATAATTATATATTTATAAAATGCTCGTCTCAGGTATAGAGCACCGGAAGTTCTACTCCATTCGACGACCTATAACAGCCCAATCGATATTTGGGCGGTAGGTTGCATCATGGCCGAATTGTACACGTTCCGGCCACTTTTCCCCGGGAAAAGCGAAATCGACGAGATTTTTAAAATTTGCTCCGTGATCGGCACACCGGAGAAGGACGATTGGCCGGATGGGTATCAATTGGCCGCCGCTATGAATTTCAAATTTCCAAATTTCTCTCGGACATCGTTGAGCGTATTGATACCGAATGCTGGTCAAGAAGCGGTAATACTTATGGAAGATATGTTACAATGGAATCCCATTAAAAGACCGACGGCACAACAATCCCTAAGGTGGATAGAATTTCTAATCACCCGAACAAGAGAAACAGAGAGAGGAAGAGAGAGAGAGAGAGAGAGAGATTCTAAATTTAATTTTACTCTTAGGTATCCCTATTTCCAATTGAACGTGCCACGTGTAATTAATAGTACAAAGATCGGGGTAGCGTCTCAACGCGATTTTGTAATAAACAAAGTAAATCTTCCACCTCCGGTTCTTAAATCGTACAATTACTCTCAGCAAGACGCATTGATGGGATCCAGGTGAATTGATATCTCGATATTTGTGCGAATATCTCTTACCGAGAAATATTTACTTTACAATTTCGAGTCGCGGAAAATTTCGAATTTTTTTCAAAGACACCTAAGCGGCGGAAATAAGTTTAATCTAAAATTTACAGGGCCCAAGAGAAAATGATACAATCCAAGGAACAAGAGAAAACGATACTCCCACTGGTGAATCATAATAGTTACATGCGCCAAAGTAATCCTCAAAAGTTGGACGAGGATGATTTTGCCGAGTTGTTGGGGTGCGTTGCACGAATTTCTTAAAATCGAAAAAAAAAAAAAAAAAAAAAAATCTCGTATTAAATGGAATCCCCTCTCTCCACTGCTATAAGCGCTATAATTCTCGCGAGCTGTTAGTCTAATTGTAAATCTAATTCTTAAATTGTGTACGTCAGTAGCAAGATCGTTCCCGAGAACGTGAACTCAAAGCTAGTCCCAGAACGAGTATACAAAGAGAACCGTGCCAATTGGAATGTGAATTATTTGCCAGAAAATCCGAGGAATTGGGTGTTGCCGGCTTGGAACGAGCCAGCCCCGATTAATTGGAACCAGTTACAACCGAATATGAAGAATGGTCGAAAAGTTTCTGGGAAACAACATTACTTCAGCTTGGCTCGATACATCGCAGGCCAGAGCGCGAGCTTATCGTCCAGGTATCGAACGTTTCGAGATCTTCTAAAACGAATCCTGACCCCTTCCTCGCTGATAATACTGGGATGTATGTTGCTCTGCTGTCTGATCTGGAAAAACGAGTTTCTTCACAAACATTTCACGTGTCTGGACCTGATAGAATATTTCTTTTGACGTGATATATTCGTGATATATATATATATATATATGTATATATATACCGTTCGACAGACATAACTGATTTTTTGAATTAATATACCACCAAATCTTTTCTCCCCAAATTGAATTTTTTCAACTTTTAACAAATTTATACATTGTAAATTTGAAGGTGTTCAATAAATTAAATCGAAGAATTTTTAAGATATTCGAGTTTCTATGTAATTTATTCAACCGAAGTTTTCATCTAATGTGCTCTCATTTTCTTTTCGTGTTTAAAGAAACGATGATTCCGACCAGAACAAGCCTAGGTTAATGCGGAATCTTGTTGGTCAATCGGTGGAGAAGTACGAGGAATTCACCGATTCTTTCTGGATGCCTAGGAACTCTATTGAGAATCAAGCAAAACGATATTACATTCCACGAAACCGTTACATCGCTGATCAAACTTTAAGATTGCCTTATCCTAGCGTTTATGGTACGCAAAATATTAGTAAGTAATTTCGAATGAATGAATTATTTGAAACGAATAAGTTTTTTTATATCTAACAATTATTAAATAATCTACTATTGATCCAATGCTTATACATATATATATGTATAATAATAATTCATGAATCCAATAGAAAATACGGATAAAGGAACGCTACTACCGAGCAATGGAACTGTGGTGAACGCGAAAGGCAGCGGAAGCCTTCATGGTCGAACCGACTGGGCTGCTAAATATCTCAAATGACTGTTTCAAAGTTACGTATACAATTTGTAACTGTGATAGAATGCCATTTACCTTTTTCATTTCCATTATAAGAGAAATCCAGATGGAGGATTTAAAAAAAAAAAAAAAAAAAAAAAAAAAAACAGAAATTTGGTGGCCTTTAAGAATGTAATCACTTTGGTGATTAATTATTTTTTAAAAACGCTTAAGTGATCACACTTTTAAAATAATTGATATCTAATAAAATAATAATCGATCTTAGCTTACTAATAATAATAAGTAGGAAGAATCAAAAGAAGAAAAAAAAAAAAAAAGAAAGAGAACAAATTTATTAACAAGTTTTATTTTATTTTATTACTTGGTTAAGTAATAAGTATTTTGATAATATTTATTAATTAATAAGAATAGAATTCAGTATATTTATTTTCCTCTCTTTTTTTTTTTTGTAAAAAAAAAGAAAGAGATAAAATCATTTATTTGTAAAGGAAACTGTCGTAGAAGGCAGTGTATCGATTAATAATAGTGGTAAAGAGTATTATACTTGGATAAGATATATTAAAGAATATATATATATATATATATATACATATTTATTATTTGTACATATTATTAATTACGATTTGGAGTAACTTCTGATACGTAGAAGACTAATGTAAAAATCGATCACATTTGCTCCTCTTTATATTCTTGTAATTAATAACACACCTTTAACGAATACATATGAAAATTTATTCAGAAAATTACTCCATGTCGCGTCTATCATACGAATAAAACATTGTAATGAAAAATATGATTATCAAACAAAAAAATTCTTCATATTTTCTACCCACAATCTTTTAAGAAGCATTCTTAATTCTGTACATTCATATTCGATATACTCATTTTTTTTTTTTTTTTTTTTTTTTTTTTTTTNTTTACTCATTTCATACTTCTATTACATTTTTAATTATCTTCGTATAAATTCTTCTAATTATTTCGTTCGATCGTTCGAATATATTATTTTATTCACATGTCCTTCCTTTTTTTTTTTTTTTTTAAATTTCTTTTTCTTTCTCTTTTCTCTAATAATAATTTCAGCGGATATATCTTGGAACTTATTACAAGTTTATGATACAAATAAAGTCAATAAAAAATATACCGCCGCAATCGCGCAACAAACCACTAAAATATCTTTCTAAGTTTACAATACGATTGTAAAATTGGAGTTGTCTCATAAAAAAATATCTCAGAAAGGAACATGAAAAGATTCGCCTTAACTTTATTAACATTTCGATCCGCAATTGAATTTGTACGCATCATCTTTTTTTTCTTTTTTTTTTTTTTCTTTTTTTCCCTGTTCGTATAAATCTCGCTTTTCTTCTAAATTCGAAAATTTTCGAAATTCAATAAATATATGCTAAAAGAAAAAGTAAGGATGCTTAAAAGATCTCGCTTCTTCACGAGTCTTAACAATCCTATTTCATACGCATGTTATTTAACGCCTTAACGAGGGAAAAAAAAAGATGTCGTATCTTTTGTGCATTCCAAAAATTCGAAACAAAAAAAAAAAAAAAAAAAAAAAAGATATCCACAGTACAAGAGAAATTATTGAATATAGAATCGATGAATACGATAGATTGATATGATTAATTTGTATTATCACGAAGAATTTGCAATGTATGTATGTTATAGACAATTCTTACGTTATGTATGTTACGTGTATTTGTATTGTGTATATGCTTCATCTAATTCGTCTCTAGGCATATTTGGAATATACGAAATACAATCTGTAAGCTGTTTGGATGGGTGGTACATTTGGTGATTATTACGCATATACATTTATCCATTAAGATGTAACCTTTATATTTGAAGTAATCCATCATCAGAACGTTCGTAAAAATGCTTCCGAGTCTTAAATTCGTCGGTTAAAGTCCATTTAATTCACGAGCTTGGATGAGCTTCATTATGTGATTTAATTTAAAAACAGAGTGAAAGTGAGAACAGACGACAGAGAGAGAGAGAGAGAGAGAGAGAGAGAGAGAGAGAGAGAGGGAGGGAGGGAGGGAGGGAGGGAGAGAGGAAGGGAGGGAGAATTCTAGTAAAGAATCTATGTTCCTTTTTTTTAATTATATGTTTGTAACTTCTATATCAAGACGCGTGAAAATATGGTCTTAGAAATTTGCAAGTGTATCTATCTGGTGTATCAATTTCAAATACTATAAAGATCAAAAATATTTGATTTATAATCCGTTTTACACAACAATTGGTAGGTAGATATGTTTCGGGCGTATAACATAGATAAAAAACTATGCGCTCGAAAGAAATACATGCTTTTCTTCTTTTCTTTTTTTTTTTCTTTTTGGTTTTTTTTTCTCTTTTTTTTTTTTTTTTTTTTCACAAGGAAGAATGTTATGAGTATATGTATCTTACATTTACAATATTAATTATTCACGCAGACATGTAACAATTTCTTACAGTATATACTGGCACGATAAATAGATCGTGTAAATTTGCTACGTTTCAACCATTGATCTAACAAGTGCAATTGATCAGAACTACTAGAGAAAGACACTGAATTTTAAAGTTTGGATTCAATTCTTTGTGTCCTATTAGTCCAGTTGTTCTGGATAATTCTACGATTAATTTAAAATTAACAAGTTCAAACAAGAAAAAAAAAAAGAATTCGCTACGTATCGAACTATATGAATGATTTAATCCGTAAATGATACGAGATTAAATACGATTTTCAATAATTCTACGTTCTTTTTTTTTTTCTTTTTTTCTTTTTTTTTTTTTTTTTTTTTTTTTTTTTGCTTGAGCAGAAACTTAGAAAATGTTAGTTTCTTATCTTGTAAAATTATCCATATAAACAACAAAATATGTGATTTTTAACATATTAGGATTGTCTCTATAATTGTTTGTTGTTTAAGGATTTAAAAAAATTTCTTATTCTCCTTTTTACGAATAACAAATTGTAATAACTATATATTAAAATTTTTTTTTCTTCCCATTCAACAATAAAAATAACAGCAAATTTGTTTAACAAATTAATCATAATAATGTGAAAGACTTTATCTTATCATCGAAGAAATCTTTTAAATCTTTTCTTTCTAATTTAAATAATTATTCTATAAAAATTAAATGGAAATATTTATTCTATTTTATTATGTAATCTAACTTAATTGCTCTGTTTTTATATTTTATTGACTGTTAATTTTTTTGTTAAAAGTACTTTTCGTCATTCTTCAATGACGAATGAAAAGTAAAATAATCACTATATTATTTAAATATAGAGAAGAAGGTAGGAATATAAAATAGAAATTTAAAGATATTAATTTTGATCTAAAAATATACATATAGCAATGAAATTTTTAATAACAATTACAACTTTAAAATTTAATAAAGATTTAATAAAGATCAAAAAAATTCTTTTATTAATGTCTTGTATTATTAATTATTTATTTAATTATAGACATTTCTTATTTGTATCGTAATAAAAAGTTTTTGCATGTGTTTTTTCATTTTAGCATATGTGTTCCAATTTAATCTAATTTATTTTCCAATTTCCAAAAAATATATGTTATTATATTGTACAATATTATTAGTTTTAAAATATTAATAAGAATTTAAATTATATTATATTTTTGATTATAACATAATAATATAGAATATATAATAATATAGAATATAAAATGTAAAATAGTAAAAATAATAATTTTATACTTATTAACAAATAATAAAATGAATTTCAGATGTCAAGAATAAATTTAGAGAAAAAAAATAGAGTCTGAAAGAATTAAAATTGTTTTAAAATTGTACTTGTTATGTTTTTTATGAACTTATTATGATTGAATAGAATAAAATTTACATACATTAAAATATAAAATGAATTTTGTAGAGAACTTAATTTTATTAAGTTCTTACTTATTTAACATTCATATATCATTAAAATTTATTTATAAATATTTTAACACAGTTTCATAACTTATTTCTCTCAAATAAAAAATATACTGCTTTATATTACTTATATATATACTTGTTGATTCTGTCTTAATTTAAAAAAAAATAAGAAATTCATAAGTTTCCTTTCAAATTAAATCACAATTTCTAATTTTTTTAAAATTTATAATATTTATGTTCATATTGTATATTTGATACAACATTTCCAAAAAATAATTATTCATTTGATTTTTTCATAATTATTTTTAATCTACCAAGATTAAGAAACATATATTTCTACCTTCTTCTTTTTAAATTATAAGATTCGAGTATTAAATCTTTGTGTGTGTATGCTCAATCTGGTGGTATTTTGTGATTTTAGTTGAATCTATTAAATTAAAATTTTTGTAAAAATTATATTCTCTGAATTGATTGATATGTTTTAAAAAACGCTTCAATAATAAATAGAAAATAATTGCAAATAAATAAAATTCCTATTTATAATGATTTTCTACAAATTTTGTTCACACAAAACACCAGATTCAACACAGCACACAATTTTGCATGTCCTAGTGTTGTAAAATTGCATTATTCACCGAAGTAGTAACGTTAAAGGAAATTTTCGATGATATGGTAGAAGATTCCGTCATACCGGTAGTTAACGAACTAACGGTATTATTAGACATCAAGCTAGATGTTGATAAAAAATTTGATAAAACAGTAACGGTAGTATTTACCTTCGATGTGACGTTTTCTGTCAATGTGAATAACGTGAAAAACGTAACATCTGTCAAACTGCTTGGTGTCGTATTGTTAAATGGTATTGATGTTAAACTTGGTGCTTTATAACATACGTCTTTAGACTGAACTGGTAACTCGAAACGAGTATCCAGTATGTATGCGAATAACGAGCCTACTGTCAAACCTGTAGTATATGACAAAGTCATGATATTGCCTAAAAAAATACAAAACGATTATAAGAAATTATTAGTTATATATAATTAGTTATTATGATAAATTATAGTTGATAATAATATATTATAGTTATATATATATTTAGTTATTATGATAAATTATAGTTGATAATAATATATTATACATATGTTATACAGTACCTGCTAACTCCCGATGACCTTCTGGTACTTTAGTAGGTGCCTGCATCATTGGAATGGAACCAACGATACCATTTGTAACACCAAGCAAACAAGAAAGTAATAGTGGATATCCTTCATTAGCAAGTATTGGAGTTCTTCTAGGTAACGCACAAAGTAAAAATAAAGGAATCAATACAACTCGAACACTGGAGAACAATAATAACTGAGTGCGTTTCCAATCGTAAGGAATCATTGCAAGCATCTAAAATGTTGAATAATAAAATACTTATATATATATGTATATAAAATATATAATATATAATATATGTACATAAAGAAATATATTGTATATATTAAAATTACATATACCTTGCCAATTACATCAGAAGCATTAAAAGCAGTCATCAAAATTACTGGCATCCATGATCCAAGTTTACAAGAAATAATTTCTGACATAATTCCAGGGTATAAACAAAGTGTTACAAAATATGCTAATCCAATACTGCCCATGTATGGAAATATTATTTTTGCCACTTCAAATCTCGCAAGTAAACCCTCTTAAAAAGTTTCATTATGTTATTATCTTATTTTTGAAGAGAAATATTTAAGATAAATAGATATCGTACTTTTGATTTCAGGCCACGGTTTACTGGCTTGAGTTCCATATGTACCCCTCATAACAACTACATCTTCGACTTTATATGTAGGACCAGCACTACCGGGAGGATTTCCTGATGGTGCGCCAGGTTCGTATACAGGATTACTGAATGAAAACGGTGAATATTGATTTATTCCTAAAAATAAAAGAAAAATTATCGATTTGCTATCATAAATAAATATTTCTATTTATTTTATATTTTTATTAAAAACATATTGTGATTTACCATTTAATTCGGTATTACCGCTCGTGGATTCATTTCCTAGGGGACTAGTTTGAATCTTTAGAACACCATACTGACCTTTCGAAGGATCTCCAATCTGATCCAATGGATCCATCTATTTGAAAATAGCAAGATCAATAAAATTCTTCGATTAAAAATTAACGACAATTGATACATACTAAACCAACATCTTCCGTTGGTTCTAACGTAATACGATTTCTTTCTTGACACAACGTTATGTAAAACTGCACGAAATCAGTCTTGCGAACTTTTTGATTTAATACGAAACACATTAGGATCGTGCTATTCGATACAAAAAAAAACATAGATGTATTGCTGCGTTCATCATCCAGCAAAGATTTGGTTAATAATCGATTAATAGAGACCCAAAGACCGGCAATGCCTACAGAAAAATGCATATTCATTTCTTGATATTTCATTGGTTTATTATTTTAAAAAAAAAAATATTTAATTATTTTCATTTCTCACTTTCTCCAATCATCACAGCTTGTGTGTATCGACTGGGAAGCATAGAAGTATACCCATAAAAGCTTGATTGTTGGACTGATTAAAAAATTACAAGATTTATTATAAAAACGAACTTTCATGGAATTCATGACAAAAAGTATTTTTTACCGGTGCAGCCGAGCGATACTATCGCAACGATGACTAAATTAATCGTGTAAGAAGTAGCCACATCAAAAGGCTCCCACCAGATCTCAGATATCACAACAAAATTTAGAGTAGCAAAAGCTACTAGATATCCTGAAATTTATTTTTTTAATATATTAAAAAATATTTTAATACAAAATGATATATATTAATTAAAAGTTTGGAATCATTATACAAAATACATATTATATTTGTATTGAAATTTAAAAATTCAAAAAAAAGTATTATAAATTTATAATCTTATCAATTTATATTACGATTTTTATAAAACGATTATTAAAATGATTCCAAATTTTTGCATTTATTAACTCTTACCGAAAGTTATTCGCGTATTTAGAGATAACGTTTCAATCAAAATATTATTTGCAAAAACCGCGAAAAAGGCCATAATAATATAGACGACTGACATATCGAATATTACAGTGGTTCCGGGATATCTCGCTTGAAAAAAGTCCACTGCTATGATAAAACTGCAAAAAGCAAAAACATCTTCGTTATATAATAACAATCATTTATGAACAATAAATTTATTTAAATAGTGTAATAATTTTAATTAACAATTAAATACAGCCACAAGTTCAATAAATTCAGATAACAATCTAATAAGATTAATGGCTGATTTTCAACAAAAATGAAATCCAGATTCATGGATAAAATACATCAAAATACGAAATAAAATTAATTTCTGTATTTTAATATTAGCATGCATAAGCATATATTATAAATTTAATTCTAATTTTAAGAGAATAATACAAATTATAGTCACAGAGGTCTTTGACATTCAATTGTCGATACATAGAGAAAGTGATTGCGGCATGACCTGTTGTATGGTAAGAGAAATCCTATACCGCCAAGTATAAGGGCAAAGTAAATGAAGTTGCATTTGTCGACTGGAGGAGACAAATGCGTGAATCCGTTGGAGAATTTAAATTCATTCATGCCCCTCGCTTTTCCTAACTGCACATAGCCTCGGCTCAAATTTTCATCCATGTCTAGATGATGGATGCGTATTACGAATAAAAAATCAATTAATCGTTGATCGTTTTATAATTCCATTGTTTCGAAAAAGTTTCAATTGGCAGTTTTTACTTAAAAAGATGGATTAGTTCTGCTGTTTCCACGCACTTTCTATCAATCGGTCAATTGCACCTGATCACTACCTTATTTATTTCTTTCCGCGTAATACGTACGTGATTGTCTTCATACACTAGCGCATGCTTTGAAATTTTGCGGCATTGATTTCTGCGTGCGCACCGCATCTTTTCTTTCTAATATACCGCGATATTTGAATACAAAAAATTTTATTTTTTATTTTTTATTAACATTTTAATATTTTGATTATTTTATGAAAAATTTTAATAATACTTTTTATAATATTAATTTCGAGAATTAATGTAAAATTATAATTGAATATTTTCATTCTATTTTATAGCATTAATATTATATCAATTTGTTAATTATATGTTATTTGCATATAGCGTATATATATATATATATATATATATATAAATCTTATGCATTTAATTAAATATTTTAAAAACTATCAAGAAGATTTAAATTGAAAAAGATAATTATATATTTATGTAAAATATCAATTGGTTATATAAATGTGTAGATATATTGTAAATACTATGTACTTACTACTTACTACATCATTGAACATATTGTATTGAGATAAATGCGCTTGCGCACTGCGTCATATAGTCATACTTATCATTTATGAATCAGCTGACGAAGAAAGATTGTTCCTGCAAATTTTAACCGTATTGAAAGAAAAAATAAAAAAGTATGTCGTTAAACACAGCGCACGCTAACGGCGGTGTTTTAATACACGCTGGAGAATGGTAAGTTGTAAAATGTATTTACAAATTTTAAGGATGTTATCGTTCTTTCACATGTTCTTGCTTATGACGTTTCTACAACGTAGTTATTATCGTGGCCTTCCGAATGCAACTTCCTTTTTATTAATAATTGTTTCTCTGAATAAGACTATTATATAAAAAATATATAATATATTTAATCTTTTAAAAAAAAATGTTTAAAATTAATTAAATTAATATTTGAAATCATATTTATTATTTATTTTTTTTCCTACATTGTAACTAGTATGATATATATAAATGATAAAATATTTATTTATTTAGCATATTATTATTTTGTGATCATGTCACAATGGAATTCCATGGACAAGAACAAGCAGAATTTATTGGTAGCAAACGTGGCAGATTATATTTAACTACACACAGAATGATTTTTAATGCCAAAGATCAAAAGGAAAAAATGCAATCATTTAGTTTCCCATTTATAACATTGAGTGAAGTTGAAGTAGAACAACCAATGTTTGGAGCTAATTACATCAAAGGTAAATGTCGTGCTCAACCAAATGGCAATTGGATTGGAGAATGCAAGTTCAAATTACATTTTAAAAGTGGTGGTGCAATAGAATTTGGTCAAGCTATGTTAAGAGCAGCAGCAATGGGTAAATTTATTATTATTAATTATAAATTATATAAAAATTTTAATAATTTTTTTTGTTATTTTAATATTAGTTATAATATTTTTTTATATATAAATTGTTTTATTTATTTTTAGCTCAACAAAATGGACCTGTAAATGATGCTCCACCACCATATCAACCTCCAACATCAAATTGGTATGCAGCACCACCACCTGCTTACCAAGCAGCACCAACAGGATATTATGGATGGCTACCACGAAATGATGCTTTTTCAGATACACCACCAGGTTATTCTAGTTTTCTTTAAGCTTTTCTTACATCATATATACATAATATATAATATATAAATATAATATGTAATATATATCATATCAATTTTTTAGAATTTAATTAACAAAATTTAACATTTTAATGTTTCATATCTATAAAGAATGTAAATTTATATTATATAGCCAATAGCGTATATATGACGGATATGCCACCTCCATATCCTGGTATAAATACACCTTATCAAGGATATGCAAATGTACCACCACAAGGTGCATGGGGAAATTCCAGTCAACAGCCTGGTTGGACACCACCTCAACAAAATGGTGCACCTGGGTGGGCTAATCCAAGTTATAATGCCCAACCAATGTCCCAAGCAGGTGCGTATCCAAATTATGGACAGCCAGCATATAACAATTATTCGCAAAATCCTCCTCCATATACTCCATATTCTCAAGGTAATAATTATGTTCAATCTGGCTATTATCCACAACAAAATCCTTATAATCCATATCCACCCAATTATTAATTTTATGTATCAAGCTATATATGTATGCATGTTTATATCATATTTTATGTGATAAAATTTTTGAAAATAATTTTTAAAATAAAATGTAATAAATATATTAATTAATATGTGTTAAAGACACAAGAAAAAAAACATATATTATACTATTCTTTATAATATAAAAATCACATAATGTAATATACTTATTATAATGAATATTGAATTATTTTTCGATACTTTTTTTTTTATCAACTATTATTGTAAATTAAGATATTATATTTTTGTTGCTTCTATCATATAATAGTTTTGTGATAATCATTATAATATAAAAACATAGTATGTCATTAAAATTTAGCCAAATATGTCTTGCTGTTTTTATTTAACCCACCAATTTAAAATATTGCTTCATTATAAAAATAATATTATAAATTTTTTTTTTGTCAAAATAATCGGAAAATAGTGTCATATTTTTTATTTCATTTAGTGAACTTTAAGGTTTTGAATATTATGCAACATTATTGCACAATAACTTTAGTTCACCTGAAGTAAGGTTGACTTTCACTATGCTCAGTTATTATCTCATAGTTGTCAAAGATAGTTCGAAAATTCACGAAGTTTTATTAGTCGTTAATCGTTTTTAATATATTTGTATAAATTATAAAAAATAACAACTTATTAATTTTTATTATTTTTTTGTTAATATAATATTAAAAAAATCTTAAATTATTAATAAAATCAATAATTTATTCAACCAAAGTGTTCTTTCATAATATAATGCTATTTGAGTTGAATAATATTGTTTGAAAAATTGTATTATAATTTATTTTTTAGACAAAATATTTTACATATATAATACAAACATATATATATATATATATATTTAAATATCAAAAGTGATTCTCAATAATTTTAATTTTATATGATCAAATTTAATAATATTCATAAAATTATATAAAAAAAAATTAAATTACAAAATATTAAAATAATTTGTTTAAATATAAAATATAAATAACTTTTATAAAAAATGCCAGATCGATTTAAATTTACTATATCAAATATGTACAAATGTATGTAACTTTTTATAAATTTAAATATATTTTTAAATATATTTATTTTTTTATCTCAATATTTTATTTCTTTTATTTTTTACAGATGCAAAAGCAGCAGAAGCTGCTCAAAGTGCTTATTATGATCCAAATAGACCACAATGTGCCTATGTTCCACCTCCTGCGTACTATGTAAGTAAAATATTATTTATTAAATTTTATTTAAAAAAATTTAAGGAAAATATTAAATAGATATTTATTTGTACATATAATAGGAAAGTCCACCAAGTTTCCAGCAAGCAACAGAGAAGAAAGATCAATAATAATGTATTCTCAATGTGAAAATGTTGCTAAAACATCAACATAATGTTGTTGTTCAATTAGTATTATATGTATAATATGCTGCTACATAGCAACAGGTATATGCATTCCATTTTAGATTCTGCTGTATTGTTGTTTTGGTGTGTGTAATAAAACGAAACAATATTTCTATCTTTCCTATACTATTCACAATTTTTGAATATACTATGTATTGTACTTTTATGTTTCAAAGTACACAAGTATTACTTATACTTACTATGTAAATTGTATAAATGATCTATTAAAAAAAACTTTGTTGTGTTTTATGCAATTAAATGGATATATAAAATAAAAAAGTTGCTATGCATATATACATATGAAAAAAAAATCACATCGAAATGCGTTATCTTTACTCATATATTTTATTAAAAATTATAAAATGATATAAAATTATAATATATTTATATATGTATAATACATTATATATATATATATATACACATATATATAATTAAATATAAAATAACAATTGATCGCCTTTTAAGAAAAGTTTATATGTTAAATATATGTAGAAAAAATTTCGATTCAAATCATGTTTAACTCATGTATACCACTTCTTTATTAAGAAAATAAATTGTTTTATGATCATTTATAGCATATATATTCAAATATGCATTATTTATATATATTATATAAATATTAAATATTAAATATATATATATACATTATATATATAGTAAATATATATATATTTAATATTAAATATACATATATTTTTTAATTTATATATATACATATATATAAATTAAAATATTAAAATAATATAATAATACAAAAATAATTACAGCATAAATTATTAATACTTATTATGACCTAAAATCTTATTAACTTTTAATTCGACTAGTTTTAATTATGGCAAAAACAATGCATATATATATATATATATATATATATATATATATATATTCAAAGAGTATATATACTTAATGTAATCTACAATAATTAGAATGAACAGATAATCTAAAATATTTCAAAATTTAATCTTTTAGATTTTATGCATTAGTAAATATTTATATAGATATATATAAACATATATATATATATATATAAAATACATGATCATTTCAAATATTATCTTTAAATATTGTACTAGATAAAAATTTCATACATAAATAATGTAATAACAATTTAATAATTTAAATGTCTCATAATATTAAAGTTTTTGTATATATAAAAACTTTACAAATATTCAGTTAAATATTAATATATAATTGAATAATTTAATAAGACACATTTTAAATTTTTCAATTTTACAATGTAAGAACTTTTAGCTACATAGAAGATTATTTATATAGTTTAATACATTTTGTAATACATAAAGATTTATCCATATTCAGAAGTGACTGTCAAGCTAAAGTTTTTTCCTATAACATAAGTGCTATGATACCAAATTCTCGTATCTAACAAGACAATATCTCCAGCATAAACAGTAAAATTAAAACGAGTACAAACATTATCACATTCTGGAGTTGGAGCAACACTCCATGTTTTATTACCTATAATTTGCCCTTGCCACATTAAACGCGATATATAATCTAGCTGTAAAAATGAATCAAAATCTGTAATTAATTAAAAAATAATTGAAAAATAAATCCACAAAATTATTGTTATTATACATACATGCATTATGGCACCTTCTTCATATCCTAAAAAAACATAATTGGAATAAGGAACCTCTGCATCCTCTGGTAAAAAATGAGGAAGATTGTAATATTGTTTCATAATATCTAAAATCTGAAGGTGACAATTTTTCCAACCAACATACCAAGGATCTTCACCATTAAGTTGCATAGCTCTTTTTTCATTCATGGCAAAAACATCACGTAAATTAGTGAAATTACTTTTAAAATGTAAGAATTGACATTCATCTACTGAATCATAAGCACCATCAATATTTTCATATAAATCTTTAAAAAATTTCCAGCTAAATACTTTTGAAGCTGGCCAATTACTTGCAGCATGTTTTATTATCATAGGTATAGAAGAATAAGCATATTGTTTGAATTCTTCTCTTGTTAAATTTGATAAGATCAATGCTGAAGTAACATCCCGACAATAATCACAATTTGATATTGGTCTTGTAAATTCCCATATCAAATAATTATTTGGTATTAAACATCTAGTTCCTCGAATATTTTTGATTATATCAAAATATAAATATTTAAAAACTATGCTTAAAAATATTGGTATAAGAAATGTAAAAAAAATTTTTTTAAAACAAACATAATCTGAGATATACTTTTTTTTATATTTTGCATTATTTTTTACACTTGCAGATTTAAGTTCTGCTAATGATGCACCTTGTTCCAAAAAGCTCTCAGTTAAAGCTACAAATGCTTTTTGTATATCTTCTAAGGTATTATTACTTTCTTTCATTATAACAATTTCAATAAGTATTCAGTATTTAATATAAATTTAAATAATTATTAAGAAAAATAAAAAAAGAACGAAAAATATTTTATATTTTTTTTTTCTATCATCAATTTCCGTGGTATTTCATTGCTGATTTGTTCATTTATATTTTGATTACTTTTATATTTCAAATTGATAAGAAAATTAATCTTATCAATAATTAACAGTTAATAATTAATTGCTTTTCAACACATTTTCTTAAAATTAATTTTTTTTCACATTTTGTTTAATCGCATAATCACATTTCATTTATTAATATTATTAGCATTAAAATTTGTGCTATAGAGAAAACATTCGATTATATGGAAAATGTTTATTACATATGTTGGTTAGAAATATATTCATATTAATAATAGTAAATTGACGTGGTATTTTATTATCTATACGAAATATGAAAATGACGTTCGAAAAAAATAAAAAAATGAGGTTGATTTAAATAATATTAATGATATAAAAAGAGATTGCCACAAACTATACATATTATATATACATTATCTTACATATAGAACATCATTTGTGTAACACATACAAATATTGTTTTAAACCTTGAACCGTTTAAGTAAAACATTTCACAAGAATATGAAAGTTTATAATTAATTCTGATTCAAGGATTTTCTAAATAATTCTTATATTTATTTATATCCAAATGTATTATATAAAATGTATGAGTTTATTTAGCTTTATAATTTTTATAATTTAAAAATTTAATAGAAAACTTCTTATTCACATATCTATTAAATAAATATGAATAGATTTAAATATTCTTTAATTATACAAATAATAAACCCAAACTTTACATTTTTGAAATTACATATTTGATATATTTAAATTAACAAATACTTTAATATATAAAATTAATAATAAATATTTGTTTTAATTGAACTTATATATAAGTAAATGAAAAAAAAAAACAATACAATAAAGAAGACTTAAAATTGTTTATTTTTTATCAAATCACACAACATGATGTACAAGTCTTGTTTTAAATGGACATTGAATTTTTCAAATGTGCAAATAGTTATGAATTTCATATAGATATTATAATAAATACAAGTTTGATTTGTTGTTTTCAAATTCTCATTTTTTCAGTTGTACATGTTATACAGTATAAAACCTAATTTACAGCAGTTATAATACTAACGTTATGTGATAATTTACGCTCGTCGAGATATACAGTCCACTTGAATTTTAGAATATAATAAAATTTTGATATAATTCATATTTTTCTAGACAATTTTTTGTCTTATATGTAGGCCAATATCAAGACGTGTGCAATTATATTTTGACAAATTCGTTGTTTTTTAATCGAACATTGCTATTATTACATTTTTTATTCATATAAAATGCGGACTATATTTCTTGATAACTTAATTTATTGCAATTTGATGAATGCTATTTATAATTCGTATTCTTTAATTCTTTTTTAATTAAGTCAAATTAATTTGCAACAGTTTTGTCTTTAATGTGTAACATTTAAGAAAATAAATTTATAAAAATATGAAACAATTCATTTTTTTGAATATTTAAATTATTATAATTTTAATCTATATATTATATTTAATATTGTTAAATATAGTAAAAGTTGAATTATTTCTCGACGAACTTCAAAAGATTGTAAATGCAACATCATAACTTCTTTCTTCACTTCCTCCTATAAATGTAATTTTACAAATATTTCACTTTTATTTTTAAAATTTAAGTTTTCCTATTTAAATAAACAAAAAAGATGAAATGCTTTTATCTGGTCTTTTAAATGACAATTCTTTTTTTTCTTAAAATAATAAAACATTTTTTTTAATATAAATATATTTTTGTAAGAATCAAAAAGCCTTTGTTTATTAAAATAATTTTTTTCCCTAGCATAATAAAATGTTTTTTTTTTAAATATAAACATATTTTCTTTTAAAACTTAAAAAAACTTATTATATTTACAAATCTTACATATGATTCAAGAGAAATCAAAAGAGAAAAGTTACAGTTACAGTATTAATTCAATATATTAAAAAATGTTAATAAATCCAAAAATCACAATATTATATAAACATTTTTTTAAGAAATTACGATTTTAAAGTATATTTAAATACAAGTCAATTTCTATAAAATAATTTTACCATTATTTTTAACAAAATTAAAAATTATCTAAGAAAATTTCCTTAATAGAATATTTTTATTAGAACATATCAATTATTATCCAACGCAAAATAAGTTACTTACTGTTAAAAATGTGTGACTAGTACAGTCGTGTTTGTATCAATGCTTACACCTGATTACGCTTTGTTTTTGAAAAGACAGAAATTTCCTTCAATATTTGATCAGAAGTAGCACCACTTGCCAAGAATAGCATCTTTTATAGCCGATATATATTGCGCAGGAACCCAATATATCCAATATCTCGAAGCCTCAGTCGTGCCTAGTTGTATAGCCTAAAATTTAAAAAAATATTTACATAAATCATTTGCTTTTATATTAATATTTCAGATATTAATAAAATATCATAAAACTCGAGCTTAGTATTTCAAGTAGATAGAATAATTTATATAATGTAATTCTGAAATTATGAAATTAACAGACCATAATATGATATTCTGGATGATCATGTATTGGTTCACTGTGAACACCTTTTATGGAATTCATAGGTATTTTATCTGTTCTTTCTTTTGTACCAATCCAAAGCTGATCTTGTTCCAATTTAAATGTTAATCTAACTTTACCACCAGATTTATTTAACATGCCAGCCAATGGAAATTCTGGTAATGGTTCCTAGAATTAAAAACAATTAAATTAATTATAATATAATACTAATAATTAATTTAATAATATAAACAAAAATTATTATTTTAATTAACATAAATAAATCTTACCTTACTATCTAATATACCAGGCATCACATCATCTGGCATACCTTTATCTAATACTTTCCTATGCATTTTCTGTTGAGATAAAGGTTCCTTATTTGTAGTGGAAGCAGCTTCATCTGATAAATCCTGCTTTGTTGGAATTGAAATGGCTAATACATCATCTAATTTTGATCCTACTACCATAACTTTGGCACCTTAAAATTATTATTATAATAAAAAATATATATTAAAAATCAATTTTTTTAATTATTTTTTTAAGAATAAAATTTTATCATATTATAAAAATTACCTTTTGTGACACCCAAACTTCTTAATGTTTGTTCATCTTTGGCTAATCCTTTAATCATAACTTTTTGCATAGCTTGAGGCACAGATATGATGTTTTGAAGATGAGCCTTTAATTCTGCCACTGTACCATCAAGTGGAAAATTTACATTAATCCTTTGCTTATTATAAATTACTTTGAAGTCTATATTCTCTTGGGGTGGATCTTGCGAGGTAGTTGCAATATTACTATCTGTTTTTTGTATATCTTGAATCTCATATTTTGATGTTGAATCTTTTGTTTCTATCAATAAATTTTCATTAGAATTTGTGTTTGATACTAATTCAGTATAAGAAGTTGAGTTACAAGAGTTGTCGTTGCTTTCACTTTTTGCAGCATCTATAAAATATGAAAAATTTAATGTATATATTTCAAATATATATTTATATTATTATATCAAATATAATATAACTTCATGTAAATAAGAATACAGTTATTTTTAGTAAAAATAATTAGTAGAGTATAAAAAAAAATAAAAATTCAAAAATGGTGTAAATTATAAAAGAAAAAATTTTATGAATGAGAAGGTTATGTTTAGAATGACACATATTAATGAAAAAACAGGAAAAACACAAATCATTAATAAAATTAATAGATGTCGAATACTATATTTTTTAAATGATTTAAAACTAAATTTATAAAGTTCTATGAAAATAATGATTATTTTCACGAAACTAATTCAATATATACAATTGTTCACTGTAATATTTTATAATATAATTTTTTCGGAAAGTAGATATTAATTATACTTAAAATAATTAAAAACAAATATAAAAAACAATGATGAAAGATATTTATTGAATAAAAATTATTAATAAAAACACGAAAATCGTCAAGTTAGCACGTACCGACGTACTCCATGATGAACTGTATTTCATTGACCAATCAAACTATTGCAGGATCCGTTGCAGTTCCTGCCATTCGTATTTACTCTGATCTTTGGAATGACTTTCAAATTTTCAAATATATTCTAAAAATGTAAAACGAAAATACTTTCTTTATTTAAATTTAGCTTCAATTTAATGTAACATAATAAAATCTTTATCATTTAAATCATCAGGATTTTTTTAATTTTATATATAAAAAGATAATTGTATATACAGGGTGTTAATATAATCCGTTAATATTCGTGGAACTCATCTTCGGAAAGTTGATTTTAAAAACCAAAACAAATATAAAAGCTGATATATGTAAATAAGTACAAGAATATCAGTTTTGAGGTTTATTTATTAAGTTATAAGGAATTAAAATTTGCGTTAGATAAAGCGAGACAGATAGATCAAGCAATTTTATTTTCGTCACATTGCCACTTCTCTATCTTTGTTTTACTTTATCTAACACAAAAATTATTTATAATTTAATAAATAATTCTTAATCGATTTTTGTATCAACATTTATATTTGTTTTATGATTTCTAAAAATTTAGTATATTAATGAATATTTTAATGTTCTCTAATATATAAAAATATATAAAATGTAAATATGTATTAAAAAAATATATTGTAATTAAGAATATTAAGTTTAATAGATAATTTTAATTACAAGTTTCAATAGAAAACTTATTGTTCATATTTATTGTAATCATGATTATGAATAAATAAATTCTCAAATCTTCTTTTTAATATTTGATTTATTTTTTCAGAAATTAATAATTATTTGATATAATTATTTCACGTAAAAATAAAATTTCATATATTTTTTCATTTTATTAATTTTTACCATAAATTTTGAAATATTATGCAATTATTTTAAATCCTCTATGTCCAATATATGCTTATATATATTTTTTTAAGACAATATTAGATGAAGTTAATGTGTATAGGTTAAGTTTTTGTTTTTATAGATTTTATTTTGTTACAAGTACACAAAGAAAGTTTTCATTAAACAAATGTTTATTTTTATTTTATTTTTTAATCTTATTTTCTTTTATACATATTACTTAAAAATCTTATAATTTTTTATATTAGATATTAGTTAAAATATACTATTCTATTTAAAAAACTTTATTTTTGATATTATAAAACAAAAAAAAAATTTTATCTATAAAATGATAAAGTAGATAATTTTAATTACCAATAATCGGTATATTTGATAAATTTTAAATTGTAAATTCATATGATGTAAGGTGGCGTAGTAATCAGAAATCGCCATCTTGTGCACCACATGACCTCGTTGCCGTGTCCCGTGACCAGCTCACGTGAATTTTGACAAATTCAAACGTTTTTGGTAGAAAAAAAAATGGATATTTTGGAGCAGCATCTCGAACAACAGGATGTCAGGTAGTGTTTATGTTAAATATCGACTGGCTGATAATGCGAACACCTATCCCTCCTGTTTCGCTCGAGGTCTCCTCAAGGTCATCACGTAGTGCACAGTGCGCACTTACAAGACTTAGGACAACGGTCGTGGAAGTAATAGGCATAGACGTAACTCTAAAGATAATTTACATATCCATTCTTCAATGTACTTATGTTTGTTTTACAGTACTGTTAACGCAAAGGATGACGGTGGCACAGGAATTGTTATTGAAGAAGCGGAAATCGTAGACTGCGAAGGTAAATATATTTTTATCATGAACATTTAAAAATATGTTTTTCAAAAATTGTTAATTTACATATGATTGATAATTAATTATATTTACTAATTATTATAAATATATAATTTGAAATATGAATTTTTTGTAGGAGAAACTGTTGCAGAAGATGGAATGCGTTACCAAGAAGCACTTGCATATAGAGTAGTTCAAGTAAATGGAACTACTGCTGGCAATGAAATAGAACTGCCAGTCACTCAACCAGGAAATAACACTGTACAAGTCCTAACATCCCCATTAAATGGACAGTTTTATGTTATTGGAAATGCTAATGATGTTTTCACAACTGCACAAGCTTCTAGATCATTGGTTCCTAGAACCACTACTTTACAAATAGAAACACCAAGGAATTGTACCACTGTATTAAAGAAGGTAAATGTCTTGTTTATTTTTTAAAAAAGTTTTGAAATCTTTTTTGATTAATATGTAATATTTTAGAGAGATGATAGAAGAAGAGCCACTCATAATGAAGTTGAACGTCGACGAAGAGACAAAATAAATAATTGGATTGCAAAATTGGGAAAAATTATTCCTGAATGCAATGCAGCTGCAAATGGAAGTGGTAGTGGTAGTGGTGAAGGAAAGGCAAATTATGAAACTCAGGTAATAAACTAAGATATTAAATTTGTGATTGTAAAAATATACATATAAAGATAGTAATACTTTTATGGATTTCTTGTGCAGAGCAAAGGAGGAATTTTGTCAAAAGCCTGTGAATATATAACAGAATTAAGAGCAGCCAATCAGGGATTGGGGCAATGTTTACGTGATAACGAAAAACTACGACAAGAAATAACTGCTTTGAAACAACTTGTTGCGCAATTGAAACGTGAGAATCTTCAACTCAGATCACAAATCTCGCCCTCTACAGGAACGAACGTTGACGTTTGAATCCTTAAAGTTGTTAGTTTATAATATATTGCTTTTTTTTGTAAATATTAGGATATATGACCTGATCAATGATTAAAAAAAATATTTTCTCTTTGATTTCATGGGAACTAAAACAAATTTCATTACACTGAAATTATACAAATTCTTTGAAATATCGGTATGGTCATAATTACCGTCATAACTTTGTATACCTTTATGCTACTCTATTTGATTTTTAAATAACGTGATGTGAATATAGCGTCATTTGTTTTACCAAATTATATTTGTTTTTTGATTAAATAATTTGATTAAATATTGAAATGTTATAATCTTAATATATTCATGAATACACTATGGATGACAATTCATAATTATCGAATGATGTCAATGAAGTTGCATCTATTCGTTCGTTGCATAAAACTTATGAAAAAAAATTATTTTTATGTATGCATGAGTGCGTTGGATCGAATTACCTCGTGTATCTTGAACGAGCCAAGGCTGTGAATATTAAACATTGATTTGAATTTTTCGGATGTGCAATTTTAAATGAACTAATTAAAATTAATTTAAAAAAAAAAGAGAATAGACAAAACAATTTTATTACAGTATAATTATGATGCAAAGTATGACGACTGAATCTTTACAAATATCATTAAATATTTTTTATTTTTAATACTGTTTTCAGAAGTATAGAATGCATATTTCATAAAAAAAAAAAAAAATAATCTAGGAACTGAGAATGTAAAATAGATTAATCGTACACGTATAAATGTGTATATATATTTATATATGTATATATACATGTGTGTACATATGCATATACGAACACATATAGCAATAAACATATTTTTTTCAACCCATAATTCTAAACGCTGAATGAAAATGCGTTGGAATAATTGAAAGAATTAAATATTGATTTGTAATATATCGTTAATGTACATACCGCGAAGGTTATTGTTATATTATATTATATTATATTATTATTATTATTATTATTATTATTATTATTATTATTATTATTATAATTATTATTATTAAAATGAAATTTATCGAAATATCAGTATTTTTATTTAACCATTAACAATTTTAAATAAAGTTTGATTTTTTTATGCGTAATATTTATTCGTTTTTTACATATGATACAATGGAAATGTCGAAGTTATTGGAACACTGTTTCTTTTTAACGATAAAAGATCTTGCATTTTAATAGTTTTAACACTTTGACACTTTTTTTTTAAACTTTTAGACCATATTTCAACGTTTAAAATAACATCTACTTTTATGTAACGTTTGTATTCGTCACTTAACACGTTTACATAATACACTATTATAATACAATATTTAATACTCTTTAATTCCATTCCTTTGTAAAAAGCTACCACATCAGCCCATGCTACAACAAAGTAAAAAGCAATTATTTTCTTCTTTTCAAGAGAATAACAATGTATGGATGAATGGGAAGCTTCTTACGATATTTTTACTTTAACTTTGCATACATACAAAAATTCCTTCATAAAAAGGAATCTATTTATCTATATAAACAGATTCTTGCATGATTGAATTCCATTCGCGGAAAATAAAATAATCGGAAGCTTAAATCGCCAGACATCACATCATTTATCCCAACAATTTAAAATAATTACATATAGATTCATTCCATATATGAATTAACTCATTATAGTACTTAATAATTATAGTACTTAATATAAATGTTTGCTGAAATTGGAAATACATTTAAGGATGTCCTATAACTTTATTATATATATTGGCTTAACGTCATGAATGATTTTTTTGTTTAAACATTAGGTTTATACACATAAATTTAGTGGATTTTATATTTGTAATTTTTTTTATATACAATTTTTTAATAATTCTTGAAAATTAATATAACTAATTAATGTGTAATATATAATTACAAATGTTATATTTTGCTCCAGTAAATCCAGGACATCCTTAAATGACCAGCATAAGATTCCTGAACATAGAGAACTTAATTTATATAAATGTTTTTGAAAATTAATCTTCTAAATTTCTAAATGCCTGTTGAATATCTTCATGTAATTGATCAAAATCAGCTCTGATTTTTGCTTCACCATCTTGTACTGGATCCTAAGACAAAAAAAAAAAAAAACATAATTTACATCATAGATTTTAAAATGAAGAAATAAAATTATTCTAAGGACAATATTTACCTTGAATTTCATAGAACTCAATTGATAAAGAATATTGTACATGCTATCCTTAATGACATTCCATGTTATTTTATTATCTGATTGTGCCGTAGATTCAACTGCATGTCTTGCCATATCGTAAAATGCGATCATGTTTCGTAACATTCCGACAGTTTTATAAAATGGACAAAAACGATCATATGGCGAATAACTGTATAATAAATAAAAATAGAAATTAATATATATGATCAAAAATAATTATAATAAAAAAATAATTTATACCTGTTCTGTTGCAAAAAATCATCTTTTAAGAGTTTCGCAACTTCTAAAGTAATTTTATCCGTCTCCGCAAGAGAAGCTTTACCGACTAATTGTACAATTTCTGATAAATCTTCTTCCTCCTGTAAGATTTCCTTTACTTTCGTTCTCAAAGGAACGAATTCTGCAAAATTTTTATCGTAGAAATCATCTAAAGCTCGAAGATATTTACTGTATGAAATAAGCCAATTAATTGATGGAAAGTGTTTACGTTGTGCAAGTTTTTTATCAAGTCCCCAGAATACCTAAACAATGGATAGAGAAAATAATAATGTAAGATAAAAATAGATATTAACTCAATTAGTACCTGTACAATACCCAAGGTTGCACTAGTAACAGGATCAGAGAAATCACCACCTGGTGGTGATACAGCACCTACAATACTGACAGAACCTTCTCGATCGGGATTACCTAAACATTTCACTCTGTAAACAATATATAATGTTTTCAATAATATAACAATTAATATATATGCATAAAATATGCAGAAAATTAAAATTACCTTCCTGCACGTTCATAAAAGCTAGCTAAACGAGCTCCAAGATAAGCGGGATATCCAGAATCAGCAGGCATTTCAGCTAATCGACCAGAAATTTCACGAAGTGCTTCTGCCCAACGAGATGTTGAATCAGCCATCATGGATACATTATAACCCATATCTCTGAAGTATTCTGATAGAGTAATACCTGTAATATATTATAACTTAATTATAACTTACAGACTGTATAATCATGAATACATATATAATCAAATTTTAAAAATGAAATATATTATATAAATATATTATAATTAAATATATTATATCAATTCTGATATGAGATATTGTTTTTTTTTTATTAATTATAAATTTTTATATAATATAATAATTTTATATAATAATTTTTTTATTAATAATATATCTACCTGTGTAAATAGATGCTTCACGAGCTGCTACAGGCATATTTGAAGTATTAGCGACCAAAGCTGTACGCTTCATGATAGATTCAGTAACACCATCAATTTCCACTGTTAATTTAGGAAAATCGCGCAATACTTCAGACATTTCATTACCACGTTCTCCACAACCAACATAGATAATAACATCAGAATTTGAATATTTTGATAAAGCTTGAGAAATTACAGTTTTACCACAACCAAAAGCACCAGGAATGGCTGTAGTACCACCTTGAACACACCTATAATTTTAATATTATAAGTATATATTATAAGTATCTCTTATATGTATTTCATTATACATATATATTATAATATATAAATATATCAACAAAATAAATTCTTACGGAAAAAGTGAATCTAATACTCGTTGACCAGTAAGTAAAGGATGATTAGCTGGTAATTTTTCAGTGACTGGACGAGGTTGTCTTACAGGCCATACCTATATATATAGAATCATATTATTATATAAATATAATAATATTAAAGGAAAAATTATTTACATACCTGAAGCATAGTATATTTGTGCCTTTCACCATCAAATTCTGTTTCCAGAATAACATCCTATAAAATAAAAAATGTCAGATATAATAATTAAAATAATTAAATCAAACTTATGTATTAATTTATAACTTACAGATACTGTATAATTGCCAGCAGGTGCAATATAAGTCACAGTTCCCTTACTTTTTGGAGGTAAAATCATTTTATGTTTCACTAATGTATTCTCATAAACTACACCAAACAAATCTCCACCAGTAATGTGGCTTCCATTTTTGATATTAGATGGATTAAATTCCCAAGCAGCACTTCTTGATAATGCTGGTACATTAATACCCTTTGGGATGTAAATAGAGTTTGTAAGCTCATTGATATCTTTCAATGGTCTTTGAATACCATCAAAGATACTGCCAAGAATACCAGGTCCAAGTTCTACAGATAATGGCTTTCCAGTACGTAAAACTGGATCACCCACAGTTACACCACTAGTTTCTTCATATACCTATACCAATATATAAATATATATGTTATAATAATATAATAATAATGTAACTTAATATTATACTTTTAAAGTATATAAAAAACCATATATTACAACATATATTAAACATATTATACCTGTATAGTAGCCATATCACCTTCTAAACGAATTATTTCTCCAACCAGTTCATAATACCCTACTCTAACCAATTCATACATAGCTGATCCTGACATTTGTTCAGCTGTAACCACTATAAGAAAATAAAAAAAAAAATTATTTATTAAATCAAAAATATAAAGTCAATAAAAAATATATATAATATTATAAACTAACCAGGGCCAGATACAGCATATACATAACCAAATTTAGTTTCTCTCTCTTCATTACTAATTTTGGGTAAGCCTTGGCTCGTCATTGTGAATTGTTATTCAAGTAAAACCAACAAATAGCTGAAAATAATTTATATTATAAAATATAAAAAAAGTTATGATGTATAAAGAGAAACATTTAATAGAACAAAAGTTAAATTAACACTTCTAATTATATTTTGTAAAAAAAAAAAAATACAATAAAATGCAAAATATATATGGTTAATCATTCCAGGAAAATGTAAGTTTTAATATAAAAACAATTCTAAAGAATAATATTCAATTCTAATGAATAATATAAAGGTATAATTATGATTGATGCCACTTCAGTCTGACATCTAATTAACAGCAACTCATTGCACACTAACAAAAATATGACAAAACGAACATAAAAAAATAACGATCGTGGACAATGTATTTTGAATTGAATGTTCTTACACGCGGTCTAAGTCAATTACGGTCAAAATCGATGAGAAAGTTGATGTCAGCTAATATATCCATTCATCATAAAATTCACGTGAGCAGTTCATTTAAAAAGTAGGCGTAGCCCTTTAAGCCCGCGAGACGTCTGCTCGCTTAATATAATGTCGAATCCAATCAAGATATTGCCATAAAAATAGAATGGCTTAATTCATTTTTTGAATAAATATATATGAAATCGATGATTCCGTGTAATTGTAGACAACGAGTAAAACGCATAAATTCTTATGATGATCGAAAAACGATGGCGCATTCAAACTGGCACGATCGATACTATACGCGCCAGTCTTTTTTGTAAAAATCTCTGGTTTCCTCTATATAGTACGAAATCGTTATAATTGCTTTGACTATATAATTAATTAAGATGAAATAACATAATCTATAATCAATGAAATAGATGACAATAAGAAACTTACGAAACGAGAAACGAATCGAAGTAAGTCCAGTCTACAATAGCAAGTCAATCTTTACAATCGAGCCTGCTATCACAAGACAGGTCAGCTGACTGAAAGATGTGTTCGTTTTCAATTATTTGGCTCTGTATCTCAATTAAAGGAGTATTTTCAAGTAAGCGAAATTTTTTATCTTATATCATCCTTAATTTAATATAGGCGATTTTTCATAAATGTTTTATAAAATGTTAAATTATGAATAAAATTAAGTAAAATATAAAGACCAATTTATTTAATTTTTGTTATCAAAAATATTTGTGTATTTTTTCAAAACAAATTAGTTTCAGTTTTAAAAAATAATAATTAAATATAGAAGCATAATACTTAAATATATATTAAATATGTATATATATTTACTGCGATTATACTATAATATAGTGTGCATAGATACGTATATATATATATATATATATATGTATATATATTAGATAAAGTTAAAAACAATTGAATAAATTATTTCAATTAATATAGATATTCATATAGCGCAATAATTATAAATGTGTAAATAAATATTTATATATTTATGTATTTATTCATTTTTAAATAGTTTTAATGGAAGTTAAAATAAAAATTAAAATTAAAAATTGTCAAGGTAAATTAAATTTTATTACTTTATATATATTTCTTTTCAAATATTTTTTAGTTTCCTGAAGTTTTTTTGCATAAAATTTCTTTTCAATAATTTTTAATTGATTATAAAAGAAAAAATTTAAAATAATATAATTCTTCAATTCCTCTTCCTCTTCCTCTCTCTCTCTCTCTCCTTCTCTTTCTTTCTCTCTCTGAACTTTAATATTTCGTTTAGAATGGTAGAAATAATTATGTAACCTAGGAAACAATGAATTTGACTTTGGATTGTTAGTATAGTGATAGTATCATATGTAAGTTTATATTCATTTAATACAGAGTATTTCGAGTATAAAATTGCATGCACAAAGACTTGATATATATCAATTATATCACCATTTTGTTATTATTTGTTCTTTTTTTGTAGAATTGAGTTTTACAAATAGTTAAAATTTCCATTTTGATTATCACTTAATGAATGTATATAGTTTAAACATCTAAGTGAGAAGAAAATATTTAATTCTCTAATAATACATATCAAGAAATTACAAAAATCATGGATATCAAGAATTTACAAGAATTTATGGAATTGGTTGGTCGATTGAAAGTAAGTTATTGCAATCTTTTAAAATAAATCCATCATTTGATAATTTATGATCATTTTGTATAGATATCTTAAATATTTAATTTTAGTATTCTCAATATAATTTTATATAATAAATAACAACTATATATATTATTGAATGTAATATATTCATATATTCATCACACAACAATTTTTAACCTTTAAATGTTGTAATAATAATGAAAGAATGTTAAATATTTTCTATTGATTTTTATTTAATTATGAAATTCAGACATTATTATATCTTTATATCTTATCTATTATATATTATTATTTTTCAAGTTAATTATCATTTCTTTTTATTTTTTTTAATTAAAAAATATTCTTTGTATCTTAATATATATTATATATTTTATATATTTATTAATTATTTTAGCATATGAAAAGAACAGGATGGGTTCTTAAAAATGTTCCTGATCCAGAAACAATTGCAGGTCATATGTATAGGATGGCTATGTTTTCTTTCTTGGTAGATAACGAAAATTTAGATAAAGTCAAGTATGAAATATCATTTATATTATGAATATTTATATTATTATTTATAATATATTATTTATATTATTATATTTATATTATTTATATGAATAAAATATATATATTTATAAAGTTCTTATTCATATCTATTAATTATTATTTTATCTATTATATATAAAGTTATTTTTCTAGAGATTTTATTTATTTATAGATTTTATTACTATATTTATTACAGAATCATGCAAATGGCTTTAATACATGATTTAGCTGAATGTATTGTAGGAGATATAACACCTTCTTGTGGTATTCCATCTGAAATTAAACACAAGTTAGAAGATGAAGCTATGGAAGATATTTGCAAACTTCTTGGAGATAGAGGACCTATGATATTAGAGATATTTCGTGTATGAAAAATTGATATATGTTTATATATATATTATATGTTTATATATACATAAACAAAAGATTATAATTAAACTTTTTTGTAATTTTCATTTTTTATTTATAGGAATATGAAAAGCAAGAATCTCCGGAAGCAAAATATGTTAAAGATTTAGACAGATTAGATTTAATTATGCAAGCATATGAATATGAAAAAAGGGATAATATTCCTGGAAAATTAGAAGAATTTTTTACTACTACAAGTGGCAAGATAAGGCATCCTTTTATTCAAAAATTAGCATCTGAAATTATTGCAAGAAGACAAGCTTTATGTTGTAATTTAACTACCTCAGTATAACTGACTTTGTATTTATGCTTTATAAAAAAAAAAAAAAAAAAAACCATCAATTTCATTATTATATTTAATAGTTATAAGAATTTATAAGAAAATATTTATTTTCACAGAGAATAAAGATAATTGTGTTTTATAAACACATGAAAAAGTAAATTAGTATATTTTACATAATATTTTTTTTATTTTTTGTGAAAATAATGTATAAATAAAGTATTAATCAAATTAATTTAATAATAATAATAATATTTAATATTAATAATTTAATAATATTTATAGTAATATTTAATTTTTTAATATTACTTTTAAATTTTATAATTTCTTTTGCATACATTTTGTTTTTTTAAATAATATTTAATTCCATTTTTATATAAATAAACATCGGTTTTTTATAAATGTTTTAAAAAATTATTTAAGTTCATTATAATATTAAGAAGATAGTTATTTATTAAGTTAATTTATTTTTAATTAGAATTACAGATTAATTTGTTTGATTTTATAATTTGGATTATAATTATAAAATATTTAAAAATTAAATTTATTATTGCATATTTATGAAAATTACAATTTTTATGCAAAAGTAATAAATATTTAAGAAAAAAATTTAATTGTGGATAATATTTATTTAACAATTCTATAACTAACAACTATTAATAATTTCTTTTTATTTTTATAATACACATAATTTTTTAAATAATATGTACATGTATAAATACATAAACATTTTTTCAATATAAGAAAGTTATACATTAAACATATAATCAAGAAATATACATATTTTTTTCAAATATACATATTTGAATGAAAATACATTTTTTACAAAAATAAAAAAATTTTGATTTTTATATGTAAGAATAATTAAATTTTTTCATATTAAATTATACAAAAAAATTCATAAAAAATACATCTTTATAAGTGTTATAATATATATAACATTAGTGTCTTTAACTTTAAATTATACGAAAATGTATTTTTAAGATAGAAACTTAATTTTATCAATACTTTTATCAATATCTTAATTTTTTCTTGATGAAGTTTTTTAGAAAATAAATTTAAGATATGAAAAATTATTATTATAAAAAATTGTATATTATATATTGTATTGTATATTGTATTTTAAAATATAAATAAAAATTGAAGAATTAAATAAATAAGAAGTTCAAAAAAACAAAATCAAATTTGTAAAAAATATATTTTTCGTAAAATTGTTGTTATTATATTGATTAATAATCGAAGTAAGTTAGCACCTAAAAAAAATATAGGATTTAATAAGTCAATCAATACAAACACATACTCAAGTTACGATTCTTATAATTGGCTGAACTTATCACACTATTAACTATTACCAATAGCATATATTAGTATATGTTACATTTGATGAAATTATACATATAAGTGGTTTACTGCCCGCACCCTCCAACTGCCAATTTAAATAACGTACTTACTTAAGTATAGTACTTACAGATCATTCATGCTTTATATGCGAAACAATTAACCTTTAATATCTTATAATAAATTATTTTTCGACAATAAAAAGGAAATAATTAAGAACTATATATTGATTGTAAGTAGACAAATATATTTTTAAGAAAAAAGCTGTTGCAAATAAGTGTACAAGTAATTATAGACAAGTAATATATTATTTTAAAGTGAGCTTTTTATCAATATTGTCAATATGGAAGTAAAATGTAACCAATCAACGGTTGTTGAAAAAAAAAAATGGTCTATTGAGAAATTTCTGGCTGAATTTGATTTATCAGAAAAAGATGGTAATTTGAATTATGCAAATTTTCATTCAATTTGTGTTACGCTTTTTTATCCAAATGAAATCAAACAAGATGAATGGAGGATTCAAGAGATATTTTGTTCATTTGATCTAAACAAAGATGGTATATTGCAGCAACAAGAGTGGAAAACGTAATTATAATTTATCTTTTTTATACGTAACAAATCAAACAAACAATATTTTAATTGCATATAGTCCTGGAGAATTACGTAATGGGCTTGCTGTTAAAAATGTGAGCATATATATATAAATACAATACTAGTGTTGTAAGTAAAGTTGATCTATAATATGTAACTTTAATTTCAATTCCAAATTCTAAATACTACAGAAAATTGGATCCATAATTAATCATACAATATATTATCAAAATTCAATTAATGAAATGAAGCAGTGTTTCAAATTTGCAAGTGTACTGTTTTTTTTTTTTTATTATTTTTATTAATTTCAAATCATCAAAATATCAATTTATATTGATTTAAGATTATTTCTGAATACTTATTTTCATGATGAATTTTATCTGTTTATTACCAAACTGGAATTATATAAGCACATGAAAACTGAATATGGAAAATATAATAAATTGAACAAACATTTTTATTCATTAATTCTTGGTTAATAATTTGATTTTAAATTTTTGATTTAAAGAGATGGGCATATTTTTTTATGATTTAGAATTTGGGATTGCTAAGACTGAAATAATGAAAATAATATCATTAGGATTTAAGATTTAAATTTATCTTAAATTTATCTTGATACAATGATATATTTTATATAATATAATTTTTACATTACATAAAAAATAGTAATTATCATGATAAAATATATGAGATAATTTTAAGAATCTAGAATAAAATTTTCAATTCAAATTTTCAATCAGAATTTTTTGTATCAATATTGCAATTTTAACGAATTAAATATAATCATATAATTTATTTGATTTATTGAACAGATTCTGTGATTGGTTACGAGTGATACTTGAACCTGTAGATGCACTTTTGATTATAGACGTTCAAAATGATTTTATTGATGGGTCTTTAGCCCTTCGTGCTTGTGAAGCCAAACAGGATGGAGTCGATGTAGTGGAACCAATTAATTATTTATTAAAAAATGGATTTTTCGATAAAATTATTTATTCGTTAGATTGGCATCCAGAAAATCATATCAGTTTTTATGAAAATTTACATTTACGAGAATTACATCCAGATTCAAAGGTATATAAAAAAGTTAAAATTTATAATTTTATTGCAGTAAAATTGAATATTTTTCTTGAACAAAATAGATAAAAAATTATACAAATGAATGAATCAGCATTTGTTGTATTATGACAAGAATATTTAAAATTAATATTATTGTTTGATCATTTCGATATTAATTTTAAATGTATAAAAATTTTCGTTTTAGATTAAAAATAATTTACATATATTACATATATTCTTTTCGTTTCGTAAAATAAAAATTATTTAAACATTTTTTTAAGAAAAAAAATATCATTCTTCTTTTTTTTAAGAAAAAAAAATGTCATTCTTCAAACAAAATATTTTTAATTATGTATAAGGTAACAAAAGACAATGCCAAGCCATTTGATACAGTGGTTTTTGCGGATCCTTATTCGGAACAGATACTATGGCCTAAGCATTGTGTAATGAATACATGGGGATCTCAATTGCATAAAAATCTTTTGATTACACCTAATTCTGTGCAGGTATTTTAAATCATTTTCAGAGCGAAAAATTTAAATTTAAATTTTGTAAAAAAAATGCGTTGACTATGATTAACTTTGTTTTTTAGGTACGTAAAGGTCAAAATTCAGATATGGAGGCTTATTCCGTATTTTACGATAATAATGATAAAGAAACAATGGAACTGCAAAAAATTCTAAATGAATTAGGTGCGACACGGATCTTCGTATGTGGCCTCGCTTATGATGTTTGTATTAAATTTACATGTTTAGATGGACTTCAATTAGGCCATGCTTTGGCTGTTATTGATGATTGTTGTCGTGGTGTTTCGGTGCCTAATATTGAAAAAACTAAAAAACTAATCTATGAGAATGGAGGACTTATCACTAATAGTCACGATGTTCTTGAAATGATAAACGAGGGAAAACGAAGCCTTATTATGAGTCATCAAATTGCAAAAGCAATGATTTGTTGCCATGCAGAAAATTGTATGAATTAATATCGTACAATTAATATACACATATATCCTGTTTCAGAAACAGGACTTGTATATAATACAATACTGTAAATGGTTCGTTAAAAACGCTTTAAATTTTTTAAAATATTTATTAGATTTATTTTATTAAGATTCTTTTCTTATACTTATTAATCATTCCTAGTTCATTGTACTTAATTATTAAATTTTATTATAAGTTTTATTATTTAATAATAACTTATATTATTAAATAATCGATATTTATATCGATATAGTAATAATGATATAATAATTATATCATTGTATAAATTAATTTCAATATTAATTGAACTTAACATGCAGTACTTATATATGTATATATTTGATATTATATTAAGTATATTGTGTTTACTTTATTTTTATATACATGTATTATTTTTTTTAACGTTATTAAATATGAATTTTTGAAATCAAATAAATATATATGCAATAAATACAATGAATTACACGTTATTAAATATTAGTTATTACATTTAATGCTATTCGTTCAACATTTTTGCAGTTTTCTCAATTTTTTTTGCTGAATCATCATCTTTTGTCAATTTACAAGCATATTTGTGTCTTGCGCCACAATCATCACTTTGATAAGAGTACAATCTAGATGTAGAATTGTAAGATAATTTTAAACATCTAAAAATGCATTAAGTAAAAAAACGAAATAAATATTTATCTAAATTGAACTTACAATATTTTAAAATTAAATTTTCATTAATAATTATTAATCATTAAATGTATTTTTCAAATTTATAATTTTTGATATTAAAAAATAATCTTACCTGCCATCACCAGGAACAGTGTATTTAGTATTTTGATAAACTGGTTTTGCACTACTAGCCCAGATCCAAAGAAGACCTGGATTTAATCCTCCTGTCCAAAAGGTTTTACCTTTTAATTTAGAATTCGTTTGTAAATTAACTATTACGTCGTGTTTTTCATTATTAGTATCAAATTCTAATAATTGGCCGCCCATTCCTCGACAAAGACTTGCTGACGACTTCCAATCGAATTCACGATTGCTAAAGTGATAGCAATTCTGGCCGATTTTGGAATAATTAGTGGGACAAGATTCTAAGGATGATAACGAAGAATTTTTGCAAAGATGAGAATTAATTAATCACTATAAATTAATTTATAAGATGAGAAATGAGAAAAATTTAAAACTTGCCTTTTTTGTTGATATTTCCAGAAATTACATAATACAGAAGTTCTTCTGCTCTTTTAAGACGATTTTCTAAAAAATCTACTCTGTAGACAAGTTTCTCTATCGCACCTTTATATCATAGAAGATAATTTATATAATTCTAAATAGAAAAATAATTATTCTATTACCATTTTTTTATTATAATTTTACCAAGTAAATAGAGATCTGTTTCAGAGACTTCTCGTTTGTTTGGCATCGATATTTTGCTCGTAACAGTTAAGCTTTTATCTCCCAATTTCATCACTTTCGACATTCTGGTTATTTTTGAATCGGAAATAGTCCAGTTTTCTAGAATTTCACCCCATATTCCTAATGGTTCAATCATTGAAACGTTAAGTGAATTTATAGCGGATACCGAATATAAATTATCTAAAAATATGAATAATCTTATTAAAAGATATATATTTTTATATAAAGAATTTAATCCTTTTCGTATACCTGGAATTTCCATAATACATAATTGAAAGAGTAACATGGAAAGTAAGCAAAAAGATAGTTTATGTTTCATGGTACACCTGAAAATAAGGAGAAATTCGATTGCGAAGCAGAGATATCTTTAACTTTCTTTAAGAAAGTTTAAATAGTTGGAACGATCGATAGATCATTCGAATCATTCTTGAACATTTCTTCAATGTTCTTTTAAATATTCTAATTAATATTCAATTGTTAATAATTATATTCCTTTAAATATTCTTAACATCTTAATTTGATATTCCTTTCATTTATTATAAAAAGTAAATGATATATAAATGTAAATGATTATATTTTTACAGACAACTCAGATGAATTATCAGATTAATTATTATTTACAAAATTAATTTAAGAAAAGAAAAAAAAATATATCAGGAAAGATGCAATACAGCGATAAAAGATTAAGATGCATTACGTACGTATATATCTATAAAATAAAGACGACCTCTTAATTGTTATCATACCACATTCATTTCTTCTTGAATATTGCTCAGTTGCTCGATCCACTTTCGTTCATGAGCGAAGTAAGACTATCGAGAGTCGAGGTTCGTGCGAGACACTTTCTCTCTCTCCTCTTCGAAAAAATGAGTCACTTTCTTTATTAAATTTGGCCGTTATGTTTCACGCTTTTACGCGATTCGTTCTCATGGTCAAAATTTCTTCCCTCCTCGTTCATTTAAAATTTTAATCAAATCAAAACTTACTTTGATTATCTTCTCGAAGATTTTAGAAATTTTAGAATCGTATATATTGTATTAAATTACACAACTCGAAAAATAAGAATAACACGAAGAATTCGTAAAAGTATCGTTCCACTGACACGATTCTTCAGATGAAACGAAATTTTATCTTCTTCTTGACAGGTGATCGTCGAGTTAAATGTAAATTAAAAAAACTTCATCATTTCTTAATTTTTTGTATTTCTTTAATAAAACAACTATGGATAATAAAGAACGTATTTGCATTATCATTCGATGCATTATCTCCAACTAATATACATTTTATATGTACATTGATTTAAAATTCGTTATAATCTGGCAACGATACAGAACATTTTAACATTTGTCTGCTTATTAAAGGAATTTATTTATTGAAATAACCTATCGATGAATATTTTCTCGTTCGATGGTATAATAAATTGGAACCATTTTTTCTCTTTCAGTCTTTCTCGTTTCATGATTAAAAATACACGGTAAGATTAAGTCGTTCGTTCCCGATCTGACTGTTTCTGGACATTGTTTCCGCCGTTACTTCCACGCTATCCACTGTCTAAAACAAAAAAAGAAAATAATAATGATAAACCATAACGATAAGTCGTATTAATTGTGCACTATTGTTTATCGGAATACATAATACATATATATATTAATACATATATATATATATTAATACATATATAATAATAATACATATATATATATATATATATTTTCGTAGAATAGAAAGGCATANATATATGTATTTTCGTAGAATAGAAAGGCATACCCTGTCATCATCGTCCCAGGATAATTTTTTAACTCTCTGTGAAACGGAGCAAGCAGGCCACGCGGGCAACGCCAACGAATCTGGAACATCTCCGGAATAATTGGAAGATTGGCAAGAGCTAGCGTTCAAATTTGTTTTCGCGCTTAAGTCATTCATGTTTTGTACTAGACCACCGACGTTAGGTATGTTGGAGGTTGCAGACAAACCTGGAGGATTTGGCGCCGGGGCTATCTTGTGTCTCGCGTAAACAGGTATTTGTCTGGCTGACGTTACACCTAATTTGTACAAAAACAATATAAAATGATTCCAATCATTGATTGAACGAACAATTATTTCTTTATAATTATTTATTTACTTTTAATCGTGGCATTATAATTCCTCGCTCCGAAAACAGGATTTTCAACATCGCCACTGTCGTTATTCGCCGTCTGAGATTCGCCGTTGATGTTATCGTCGACGATCTCTCGATCGACACGATTCATTTCCTCTGAATCGTCCCCGGCCTCCTCCTCCCCGTTCTCCTCGATATTGTGCGCATCCTCGGCACGAGTTCCTCTTCGAGGACCAACTTCCAGAGCGTCTTGGAGCATGTTTGCCCCGAGCACTTGCGGTGTCGGGCTCAGGGCAGAGGGGACCGGCGATTTTTCTCGATAACCGGTCCCGACCGAGCTCACGGACCCGCTCGTCTTTGGTCTTTTGCTTTTACGTGAAAAATGTGGAAAAAAAATGTAGAAAAATTTGGGAGGAAAGGAATACAAGTTACATTAAAGATTTTTCTTTTAATTTAAAGACATTACTTACTTTTTGTATATGTACAATATCAAAACAAGTATTATAACACCAAGGAGACCCAAAACAGCGCCGAAAACGGCGACAAGGAGGACGCTGCTTCCCAACCAGGCGGGTGCGGCTCTCGCGGCTATCGGCAAGGATCCGCTATTCGGCACGTGCACGATCACCGGGATCATGCTGGATCTTGAGAGAGAGAATGAGAGAGAGAGAAGAAAATTGGAAGGAATTATAAATTTGAATTACGAAGTGCGGATAAAATTAATTTTATTCATTGACTGTTTGTTCAATAACCTGGGGGGGCGGCCAGAATCGGAAGCCACGGCCACTAATCTGGCCAAGGAACCGTTAACCGTTGCTACCGATCTGAGAATTAATTCTCCATTGTCACGTATCTCGAAAGATCTGAATTACAATTGATTTTATTTCATTATTTATTTCATCAATATTAAAATTATTACGAGGAAATATATCATAATACGTAATTTGTTGTACGTATATATATATATATATATATATATATACATATATTGTTGTCATACCTTGCATCTGGACCTCTAAGAGATAAACTAATTTTGTCGTCTCTGTCACCATCGGCAGCTTCTAACTTTCCTGAAAAATATTAAAGATATTAATTCGTGAAAAAAGAAATGTAAAAGTAGGGGAGAAAATTGGCTCACCGACAATGGATCCTTCTCTCGATGTCGCTGCGTGGAATTCGTATCTAGGATGACGAAACCGAGGTTCCCATTCGTTCACATCCTCGACAGAAACGTTCACGCGTGAAGTGTCGTTCTGTTATTGTACAACGTGTATACAAATATCCTTGCATTATTTCCAATTCCAAAATTAATTATTATCGTTTTCGTTAAATTTTTACTCTCTAAAATGTAATTTTGAACGGCCGATTTTCAAGAATTTTGAAAAAATAAAAGAAAAGAAATTGTACACGCACGTGATGGCCGTCGGTAACGCGAACCAGAAAACTGTGCTGTACCCTCCTCTCGTAATCCAGAGTACCCTTCAAAATCAATTCGCCGGAATTGGTGATGGAGAATCTCTCGAGATCTTCAATTGCCCCCACCAGCCAAAATCTTAAATTCTGAAAGTAGTTGAAAAAAAGAAGAAAATTCGTGGAAAGAGAGGAATTGTTAATCGATCCTGATCTTAACAAAAAAAAAAAAAAATCTGACTTACGGAATCTAATTTATTCACCCCTGTCGTTAACAGAACACTTCCTGGAGGAGTGTTTTCTGGGATAGTGGTTTGATGATCCCTTCGTATAAATTTGACAGGTAACCTTCCACCTAATTTATAATAATGTAATAATAATTATGTGTTTATAATAGTTAAATAATTTGTTATAATTTATAATAATGATGATTTATAATAATGAAAATTGAAAGAAATAGAAGAGATTATCTTCACCAGCGGTGGGTTCGACGTTCCAATCGGTCTCCCGAGAAACAACTATGGTGGAAAGAGCGTATTTATCCGGATTGTCCAATTGCGTAGCCTGGAAACAAAACAGGGATAAGAAATTTAGACATATCATTGAAGTTTAATTTATTAAAGAATTTGTATTGCGAGGATGTTTGCCTTGACGACGATCGTTGCTGGGGACAAGAGTTCGTGTTCGTATAACGGCCGCGTTATGGCAACCTCGGCTGTTTCCGGATTCAGGGTGAGAAATGGAAGAATACCTCCTTGAATCGTGTACTTGACGGGAGCGTTAATTCCTACGTCTTGATCCATCGCTTTTATCGCCATTGGATCTACCTTCAGTGTCTTTCTCTGGGAAAAAAGAAAAAAAGTGAGATTTATAGCTTAACTTGATTATTATTTTAATCAATCTTTAATCCATCGCGCTTTTTCGCTCGACCAAATCAACAACTCGAGACCGATTTTCCGATTATGTTCGAATTTTTTAACTCGAAATAATTTCACCTCATCTTTATTTTTATGTAAAGAGAGAAAATTTGTCGAATAAATTAAACTTTGTATATATTGTTGTTTCGCTCGATATTTTATAAAGATCGCTGAAATGCATCCATCACTAACTAAAATGTCTTTTACTCTTCTCATCTCTTAAGAGCAAACCTTGTATAATGTAATTTTCTCTCTATTATCCTTATTTTTTACACCTCTTACTTTATCTCTATCTTCATCATTGCTTTCCTTCCTTCTATCGTCAATTTTTTTACGAATAGCAATACAGAATAGCAATTTCGTCGAATTCAATAACGAAAAATCATCAAAACTCAAAAACTTTGAAGGTAATATTCCTATTGCCTACGACCAATGTCGAAGATGTCCGATCTAATTTGAGATAAAAAAATTTATCTATTCGACAATATATTATTCTACATTTCGTAAGATTATACGTAGAGTTTAAGAATCAATTCACAAAGCGATATTCTAAAAAAATCGATCGTAAATAAATATTGTCGCTGATCGAATTCGAGCGCAAAGGATTAATAATAATAATAATAATAAAAATTGTGTACCGTTTTAATGTTTCGAGGAACGAGAATTTTGTATTGGTCACTTTGAAAGGCAGGATTTTGGTCATCCGCGTCGATGACGTTGACGTAAAGTGTCGTAGCGGATGATTTTGGCGGGTTACCTTGATCCTAGACGATATTAGGTTACATTTTAATAAAGTTCATCAATCGTCCTTAAGAGACGATTCAAAAACGATTAATGGCTCACTTGTGCGCGTATATCTACAGAGAAATTGGCGAGTGTTTCGTAATCCAGTGGTTTCCTTAGGACCAGAGTACCTTCTAAAGCGTTTACGAACACAAAGTAATCCTAAAAAAAGGAAAAAGAAATGAAAGATCTCTTTCATTCAAAGGATCAAGAGAACGAAAAATGGTACCGAGTGTGGTCCAGGCAAAACTGCATATTGTACGGTAGAAAATGGTCCTGGTTGATCTGCATCCACGGCTCTTACACCTTGAAGAACCCTCGTACCCACCACTGTGACCTATTTTAATATTACAATATTCATCAATAATTACAAAGAAAAAATATGTATATATATATATATAATAATATATATATAAATATTATAAATATATATATATAATAAATAAATATAAATATAAATATAAATATAAATATATATATATATATATATAATAAATAAGTATATATATATATATATATATATAATAAATAAATATATATATAATAATATATGTAATATATAGCTCTTGAAGAATCCTCATACTCACCATATATAATAATCATCAATAACTACAAAGAAAAAAATATAAATATCTTATATATTATTATATATAATAATACATGGCTCTTACACCTTGAAGAATTTTCATATCCATCATATATAATAATCATCAATAACTATAAAGAAAAAAAAATATATATATGTATAAATATCTTATATATTATTATATATAATAATACACGGCTCTTATATCTTGAAGAATTCTCATATCCACCATATATAATAATCATCAATAACTATAAAAAAAAGAAGATATATATATATAAATATCTTATATATTATTATATATAATAATATAGACAGCTCTTATACCTTGAAAAATCCTCGTACCCAACATTGTGACTTATTTCAGTTATTAACAATAATCATCAATAATTACAAAGAAAAAAAGATATATATATAAATATCTTATAAATTATTATATATAATAATATATGCAATACACGGCTCTTACAGAGGATTCTTGACTCTCTTATATATATATAAGAAAAAAAAGAAAAAAGTTTGCAAAAACGAAAGTTTATGGAAAAAAGTTAAGTCCCTCACCTCGGAGATGTTTAAGACGTAAGGCGCATTCACAAATTGAGGCGCGTTATCATTGGCGTCAGTCACGCGAATGTTGACCGGTATCACGAAGCCCTGAAACAAATGAAAATAATTGGGAACGATGTTTCTGTTGCTCGATTATTCGTAATAGCACGCGCAAGCACGTGTAAAGATGCAAGTACAGGGTCTAAAGTGTGTTTCCTCTCGCAGATCACGTTCACGTAAACGCTCGCGGGCCCATCCACGCCCTCCTTGTCCAGGGGTCTGATAAGAGTTAAATTCTTCGAGTAGGCGGAGAAAGTGACGGGGCTGTCGAGTTCTTGAAGCCTGAGCTCGATGTCGCCCTGGGGCCCGGGGTCGCCCAACACCCCGAGCACGCCCACAGTGTCACCGACCGGCAAATCTTCGCCTACGAAGAGGTGTGCGGCGGTTGCGCCGTTCTCCAAGAAACATCTCGCGTCACGGATCACTTAAAGATAAATAAATATCATTGAAATTAAAATCGGACAGAGAATACGTGAGGTGAAAAAGTATTGATGATATATACATGTGAAATCTTTGTTGGGGAAAAAATTATTGTTGAAAGATACGAGGAAAAGGAAGAGGAGGAGTTTCGAGCGAGTCGGAAATGATAGGTAAGAAAGTTGAAAAAACAGGTTACAACCGTGTAGAGAGACGATATTTCTTTGGCCGCTTCGAGCGTAGAACGAATCGTGTTCCTTCGATCCACATCCAGGTATCGTGCGGTTTTTGGGTTTCCGGAGTTTTTTGTGAAGCGATTCACCACTGATCTCTCTCTTATTATTAACTTATCCAAACTTTTCTTCGTACTTTTATTCTTATTCGACAGTTATGCATGGAGAGAAAAACATATTTGAGAATATTTTGAAAATTTCTCTTATGCTAATTAGTCTTTTCGAGTCTTTTCTTAATTAGACGACTTCTTTAAGTGGAAATCTTTGGCTTATTTTCCTTATTTCCGTCGTATCAAAGAAGAGTAGAATAATTTATATTTATCGAAACTTTCCTTTATATCTTATTCGTTTAAAGAGAGTTACGCACGGAGAAAAACAAATTTGAGGGTACCATTTTATGAAAATTTCTCTTATGCTAATTACTTACGAGTCTTTTCTTAATTGAACGACTTCTTTAAGTGGAAATCTTTGACTTATTTTCCTTCTTTTTCGTCGTATCAAAAGAAGAGTTGAACTTATTGAAACTTTCAACGACTTGTTTGTTTAAAGACAGTTACATGTGAAGTAAAAACAAATTTGAGGTTACCATAAAAATTTCTCTTATTCTAATTACTTTCGATTCTTTTCTTAATTGGGCAGAAGACTTCCTTGGATGGAAGTCTCCGACTTATTCAAATCGTATCAAAAAGAAAAAGTAGAATAACATATGCAACGACTTCTTTAGAAGGGAAAAACATGATAATCGTTCGTAATAAGATCGAGACGAGCAATGTTAAGCGATCATTGCCTCTAATTCGTCGTGCATCGAAGCTCCTCTTGTCCGTTATTTCTTCGACTTAACGGTGTTATTTGTGCCGTTTTTACATCTATTGAAATAAATTAATAATTAATCGATAACTAATAATCTGTAAAAAACGAGAAACAGAAATTAAAATTCATCTAGAATCTATGAAAAAAAGAAAATAATCTAATCTTACAACTAATTTTCGATTCGTAACATCGAAACATCGTAATTTCCCTTTTATTCCAACGTGGATACAAATTCAAATATTAAACCAACTATACCACGATGTTTTTGTTTCCAATCAAAGCACCGTAATATTATATATCCATATTAGAAATTCACGTTACAAACGAGTGCTACGAGTGTTATTTATATACGTGAATATGTACGTCACATATACGAAAATCCGACACCGAACACACGTATTACTTGACGCATGCGCGTAGTAGAAAAAAAACGCGTGTGCACAGAAGTCATTTAACAGGCGCGCGTGCACGAGGGGTTAGACGTGTGCGCTCCCTTGGAGCGAAGTTCCGCTAGCTCACGGCGTATCGACGATGCAACGTTCCGCGGTTGCTTTTCGTAATCTTTTTTCCCTCCACAGTCGAAGACTTTTCCAGAAAAAATTACACGCATATTACCATATATATATATATATATATATATATATATATATATCGTTGCTTTCAATTCAAGGAAATTTACACCTCTCTACGTTTATCCACTCTTTCGATGGATGAAATTTATTACGGATAATAAATGGAAATGGTACTTAATCGTACATGAGCTCGATTGTGTGCACGATGAGGATCGCTTAATAAAAACAATAACTCCGAAACTTTATATAATAATAACTTTGAAACTTTATTTTATAGATACCGGGATCGTTTCGAATATTACGCTTCGATGCTCGAGCTAATAAAGCGGAACGAATTTATTCGTTTTAACCGTCGTAGAAAAAGGGGCTAATGCGAGTTCACACGATTATTACCAAGTGAAAAAGTAAACGCACGTTTAAGCGTCGTCTGAATGTTTAAATTTCTCGTCTATCCAGATAACGAGACACGTAAATGAAAGGCCTATGATTCCACAACCGTCCCTATGAGTCTCTTGACTCTAACAACGCGTTATAGTGTCTTATCACGAAGCTTGAGTTGTCAGTTGAGGAAAACACGCGTTGAGGAACAAACTCTTAATCGAATTTGACTTTATTTTACTCAGCACGGAAAGAGTTCGTAAAAAGAATGGCGAAACGGGGTAGCGAAAATATATCGCCGCTTCTCTTTTAACACGGCCCAATTATCGTGCGTGCAAAAAATGGCCGCCAATTTCTACGAATGTAACGGGAAGAGAAGAGACACGTTAAAACCATATCTCGATTTTCGCAATGGAACCACTTTCTAAGTCATTCGATCCTTTATCCTCTGGTGGATATGTCGCGAGAATCGTCGAAGGGAAACGGACTGTTAAGATCATTGCGCAACATGATTGCGATTTCTTTAAAAGCGATGCTCTTCGATTCGACGTTTCTATATTTATGCAATAAGTTTATAATTTGAATCAGAGGCACAAAGTGTTTATATTCAATTTTTGGAATATAAATTCGGTTTTTATCTTCTGATAGATATGTCGTGAAAGGAAACGGATTGCTAAGATTACTATGCAATATGATTACGATTTCTTCGATTCGACGTTTTTACGTTTATGCAATAAATTTATAATTTGCTTTGAATCAGATGCGCAATGTGTTTCCAATTTTTGGAATATAAATTCGATCTTTATCCTCTGATAAATATATCCTGAGAATCACCAAAGGATTGCTAAGATTATTATGATCACGATTTCTTCGATTCGACGTTTCTACGTTTCTATGCAATAAATTTACAACTTGCTCGAGAGAGACGAGGGGCGCAAAGTGTCCACAATTCTTCTAGGATACAAATTCGATCTGTTCCATCTTAGAGCCGCAATTTTCCTCCTCGCGATCGTTCGCACTTAATCCCGGACGTGTAACGCAGATTTCACTCTCCACCCCTATGAATTTTTATCACGAAATCTCGTAAAAAACCCATTTGGATCTGACATCGGTGTCTAGTTTTCACTCTATAACTCTATAACATATAAATGGCAACTCGGCCTTGGAGGATCCTCGACTTGTAATTGAAACTTTTTCATTATTATTATAACTTTTTCATTCATTCATTTTGATTATTTAATTCTCTTGTTGTACTCTTTCTTGCAGAGAATTTTATTAGTGCTTATAGTCGTTTATAAATGGAGATAACATATATTAATATTTATAAAGTAAATATCAATATGTTAAAATATATAATTTTCGAAGATTTAAGATCCTTGATAGAATATGAAAAATCATGTGAAAAAAAAAATTATTGATCGTGTGAAGAGCAATTGATACATTTCCATGTGAAGAGGAATTGATAAATTTCCATGTGAAGAGGAATTGATAAATTTCCGTGTGAAGAGGAATTGATAAATTTTTCATAAAATTCAATTTCTCAAAGATTCCGACTAAAATCTTCGACTTTTTATTAGGAGAATATGATATATAAAGAGGTGGCAGGCAATATTTTCCTTAAAATTCAATTTTTCAAAAATTTTGACAATATTTTCGACTTTGTATCATGAGAATATAACTTGACAGGTGAAATTCGAGAAATTTTTCCAAGAATTTTGGCAGTTCCTGGAAATGACGTCAAATTCCAGGAAATTTCGAATTGATAAAGAAGAGGAATGTGAATTTGTGAAGAGGAATTGATAAATTTCCGTGTGAAGAGGAATTGATAAATTTGGGTGTGAAGAGAATTGATAAATGAAAAAAAGTCAAAAAATGATAATATGGCAAAATAAAAAGGTAAATATAAGGTAAGTATATCAAATTTAAGATCCAATAAAGGCGGCGCGCGATTAAGCATCTCGATCAAAGCGGAATCAAAAGGGGGAGGGGGAGGGACGGTCGGATTGTGGTTCCGTGGCGAAGGAGATAGCGTGAGAATACCGAAGGGAAGACCCACATTGTCCCGCGTGTAAATGCAGCGTGTAACAGAGAATGGGCAGGATCCTCAGAATATTCCGTCTCATGGCGATCCAAGGACATCCTTCATCGGTTCGGGCAACGGCCGACGCATCTGAAAAATTTTATTAAACATGACTAATGAAACAGCTGCTCGTAAAATTAGCAAGCACTCGTCCATAAAACATATATTATCAAAATATAATATATTTGTAAAAAAGCATGGTTTCAATTTTTCTTCTCTTCTAAAGACTCGATTTGTTAACTCTACGATTGATTTAATTCAATTAATTCAATAAAATTTAATTTTTTAATATTGATTGATTATAAATCATTAATATTTTTATTTTTAGTAAGAATAGAATTTTTTCAATAATTATTATTTATAGAATTAGATATATAGATTTATATATATTCTTCAAATAAGAATATATATAATGGATCGATTTTTTTATTCAATGATTTTATTTTTAATTTCATATATATATATATATATATTAATTTTAAGACCAAATACATTATCAATTATTTTAAGATGAGATGGTTTAGGATTAATTTCATTTTAATACTATATTATATAAAAATAAAATCTTTTACTTCAAGAATAGTAACTATTATTTTAAATCTTGTTGGTGATTCAGGATTATTAATAATATGTTTTAATAATATGTATTTATTATTAATAATAATGTTTTGTAGCTTGTTTTGGGACGATGGAATTTAATATCGATTTAAAAATCGAAAAATCTCCCGAAAACCGGTGAAACCGTTAATCGAGGTATCGTTAATCGAAGTAGCGTGACTACTGAACAATGCCCTTCCAACGAACGAGAAAACGAGGGCGCAAACATTTGTCGGGGATCGATGTCGAATCCAAAGAGCGGCGACGATATCGAAGAGAGAGAGAGAGAGAGAGAGAGAAAAAAAGAAAAAGGAAAAAAACAGAGACTGTACAGAGGAAACTATAGCGAACATAACGCGTGGTTAGAAAGCATGCGAAGAAACTTTGCTTTATTACGTGAAACCTAGATACGTGGAACGACATTAGGGGCAGTTAGGTGGGGGTGGCGAGAGCGATAGTTTGTCCATTTGCCTCCTTCGAAAGCAAAGGAAGGTAAGGTAAAGGTGAGTCGAATCGCGGAGGTAAAAGTAGAAACTCCGCAAAAAAGAAAAAACATTAAGGAATTTATTAGGGAAATCTCACTTATAATACTTTTATCAAACTGATTCGAATAAAATAAAACAATAAGATTTACGAAGGATTGAACCGTCTCTCTTACATCCTTTTACCCCTTTTCTTCTTCTTCTCAATTCCAAGGCTCCGTTTCGTTCGAACTGGGAATCGTTATCGTAAGATCAAATCGTTATCGTACTCGAGAAGATTACGAGAGAGAAGATTAGAGAGAGCCGTGTCTTGGAGCCGATCCCCCTCGATCGAGTGGGAAGAAAACAAAGAAAATTAATCCCCGGTGGAAGGAAGGGATCTGTGGCGGGTATCATTCATCACCACGGTGGATAACGAATCCATAAGCCGGATACGTTATGTGGGCCACGATACTTGTCAAATTCACCGACCGTAAATTCACAGCGCGCGCCGCCATCACGGCCAACCGGCGTAAAATCCTCCAACGATCCCGATTCCGCTCAAGAATCGCGGCCGACGATGAATCACTCCGCTCCTTCTTCCTCCCCAGCGCGCCTCTGCCGCCACTTTCGCGATCGAAACTGCGTCGAAATCGATTCTTTTCTTTCTTTTTTTTTTTTTTTTTTCGGAAAGACGAAGGAGGAGCACGATTTAATCACATCGAAACGATAAATTTTATTAATTTATCGCCAATTTCGAAGAATATTACGATAAGGTTCTATTTAGTTAGAGGATTGAAAAGAAACCATGTTAACATTCTCCTTTCTTTTTCTTCTTCTTGCCAATTAGTTCGAATGAAATTTATATTAAGATTACAATCCTCCAGCTGCCTCGTTCACTTACCACAATTCCCTTCGACGATCGCTCCTCGTTATCATCCTCCAGAGCAGCGTCTCCCTCAGTGTATTTCTCGAATCGGCATCGTTGACACTTGGACCGACTTTTTCCTTTATTTTTCTTAAGAAAGATACATTTCTCTTCACAAAGTTGAACACTGTTAAATTTTTTTGACCGGCTCGATTCACAGATGTATATCACGAATCGGGAGAAAAGAGGAGAAAGAGGGAGAATTTTGAAAAAAATTTTCACTATCTTTCACCGCGTCACATCTTCTTCCTCGATCGTTCGAATCTATCGGCGGCGATCGATTCGAATATCGAATGGGGAAGAGGAAGAAAGAGAGTAACCACCTGTCCCGACTTTTGACCGGCCGCTGCGAAACACGGACGAGCAAAGAGACGCGGTAGACCGTCACTCGGGAAGTCGGTTCGCTCCATTGTTGGGAAGGGGGGAACTGGGCGACCAACCGAGCGCCTTCCTGGCCCCTGCCTCGAACAGGTGTTTACTTTCGTTGGCAGGAAATTGGACGTGTCTACGTGTCCGCTCCACACACGCGACTGGCCCCTGCCCTGCCCTTTTCCTCCTCTCTTCACCGCCGAAATTCCGTCTATGGGAAAAACTCGTCTATGGGTAACAGAAAATTTCGAATTCGATTCTATATTCCGCGTATCTCTCTCACTGATCGATTTACTTTCGATCTCTCTGATCGATTTAATTTTAACCAAAAGTTAACCCTTTGCGTTCGAATTCTATGGGAAAAATTCGTCCACGGTAACAGAAAATCCTCTGTAACTCTCTGATCGATTTACTTTTAACCAAAAGTTAACTCTTTGCGTTCGAATTCTATGGGAAAAAACCGTCCACGATAACAGAAAATTTCGAATTCGATTCTCTATTCCGTGTATCTCTCTGATCGATTTACTTTTAATCAAGGTTAACTCTTTGCGTTCGAATTTTATGGGAAAAACCTGTCCACGGTAACAGAAAATCCTCTGTAACTCTCTGATTGATTTACTTTTAACCAAAGTTAACCCTTTGCGTTCGAATTCTATGGGAAAAACCCATTCACAGTAATAGAAAATTTCGAATTCGATTCTCTATTCCGTGTATCTCTCTGATCGATTTACTTTTAACCAAGGTTAACTCTGCGTTCAAATTCTATGGGAAAAACTCGTCCACAGTAACAGAAAATTTCGAATTCGATTCTCTATTCCGTGTATCTCTCTGATCGATTTACTTTTAAGCAAGATTAACCCTTTGCGCTTCAACGGTGACTTTCGGTCACCAGTGGGATTGATGCGGCAACTTGAACGGCGACAATATTTATTTACGTTTGATTTTTTAGAATATCGCTTCATAAATAGGTTCCTAAGCTCTTTACGTGTAATCTTATGAGGTGTAGAATAATATATTGTTGAATGGCTAGATTTTTTATCTCAAATTAGACGGTGATCGTGAGTCGAACGACATCTTCGGCGTTAGTCCGAGTTCGACAGTCGTGGGAATAGAAATATTATTTTCAAAGTTTTTGAGATTTGTAAGCGTGGAGTACGGTAATGAAATTAGTTGAAGCGAAGATGAGTTTGATTTTTCGTTATCGAATGACAAAATTACTTTTATCCGTAAAGAAATTAACGATAGAGAAA